TCTTTTTACCTACCAAACCAAATGATAAGTATGAAGGTTAATGGCCTTAATAATTGTTGTATAAGAGAATCTAATCTTTCTTATAAGGTAAAAATTATTTTTTACATGCTTATGATTGACTTTTGGGGATCCTTTTTTACTATCTCGAAAAATAATATTGACTTAGTTTTTATTTGTAACCCTTGTTGAAGCTTCAATTCCGACTTAAGTTAGCAAATCGAGTTATGAGAACCACTCTTGGGTGATAGGGTGAAACGATAAAGACTTTTGAGTGTATTACTTAAGATGTTTTGAATTTGTTTTCTCTCGATTGCTAATAAGGGTGGCCACTAAAAGGTTTATCCGGTCGTTAACTTCAGGTCTTAGGATATTAGTGGAGGGGTGTGTAAACTGGTTCAAATACATTCCATCACAAAAAATGTATTGAGAGTTAAGAATCAGGAAAAAATATATACAACGTTTATGATTTGATATTTTTAGGCTGAAAGAAGGATGTACATTGAAAGGCAACTGATTTAATTGTCTATTTGTATAGACAAGAACAGTGGATCATGACCATCTGAATAAGAGCTAGTTTACATGGATTGGGTTTTGATTGAGAAAGCATATAGACTTTGGAGGAGGTTGGTGAATCCGAGCATGGATTTCTTTGCATTTCATGGAAGATGGAAATGAAGTTGTCCTTGATGCTGCAAGCTCCAAGGAAGAGGTCCTGTGGCTACTAGACATGCTAGATTGGAAGTGAATGCCGAACCCTTGGCCAAGCAAAGAAATTGACTCATCAAACTTTGGTTCAAACTAGTTATCAATCTGTATTCGAGTCTTAGCTATTTCGCCTATTTTGTGGAGAGCTGTTTGTGGAAAGTTGTTTGAATTCCCTCCCTCACCTTCCTTACAGATACTGTCCCAAGTGGTTCAAGTTTCATGAATGTTCAAACTCTCTACATACCTTTTAAATATTATAGTTGCCAATAAATACTGAACTTTATAATTAAGTCCTGCACATTCTGAGGTTAGGAAGGTGCAATCCTTAGATTGTGTTTTGTACTGTGATACATTGTGAACATTGTAATAAAATCTTTGAATATTCTACTTATAAATCCTTTGCTGCTGCAACCCATTTTTGCTTTTATTTCAGTGAGATGATAAATTGAAATGCTACCACTGAATTTGTGATGTAGCTATGAAAATACATTAGAGAAGATCCCTAAAAATTTATTTTACCATCAAAAGTTTGGCCAAAGCGCCAATTAACAGGGGCAACATTATCGAATTGCACCATCTTCCCATCACTAGTAGTGACTTGGAATGACAAACTTTGCCCCGCTAAGGCACTTCCAATCTGCCAATTCTGGCCCCAGTTGCGATTCATTTGCTGCCAAACTGAATTAGACCCCTTAATTTTAACATCGGTAACATCACCAGCACCTCCAACATTGTACACTGTAACCAGTGTCCAATATCTGTTTCCTTTGATCTCAAACTTGACTCCTCCTTGTTTAGAACACAAGACTCTGCGATATCGAACAGGGATGATCCCGGCTTTGTAGTTAGCAAGTTTCACAAACATTGGCATGGATAAATCAAAGTGCTTCTGTGGAGGGTTGCACCAAACATCAGTCGTTTTAGTGAAGTTTGGAGGGCAGAAATTGGTGGCTGTAATCTTGATGGTGCCTGCAGTTGGTATGCACCATTGGGGATCATTCACACACATTATTTCAAAACAAGCACCGCATGTTGATCCATTGTTGAAGAGGGCTGTGCTCAGAGCTGCTGTCTCAAGTCCGTATCCTTGCTTGAAGAGGTCTCCATACCCACAAGCTCCCTCTGTCAATAACACACCATTCAAATTATCAGACAATTTGCAATTCAAATTTTAATATATAGTAGGGATAGACTTATAAATTAATGTTAAAGGGACAAATTAAGTAAATTTAATATATATAACTCTAGGAAAAGTAAGAGAGTTAATACAATATGGAAAAAGTTAGTGAGTTGGACTAAATCTTGAAACATTATCAAGTATAGACAATAGAACCTCATCAAAACAAAAAACTAAGCAAAATTAATATATTATTTCTTTTGTTTTGCATGCAAGAGTTATCTCTTGGTAGCAAGAACTTAAGTTCAGATTTAACGTTGAGAGAGATGAGTATATGTGCGTATGAATCATCCATAGATAATGGAACAAGTATTTTATAAATATATACCACAAAGTACGAAAGCTTTATGATTTATGCTGTTTTGCATGGAAGAGTTAATTCTTGTAAAAGAGAGTTTAAGATAAGATTTAACAAAGACAAAGACAAAGACTGTATAATACATATATGAATCATGTATAGAAATGGAATAAGTATGTTTAGTAGACCTACGCATGGTATCGCCTCCCTTCATATCACCATAAAATGTGGCACGAGCATCATACCATGCAGTATCTATGGCCAAGGCCATTGTCATTAGCAAATGAAGAACCATGAACATGAAGAAATTCTTAAACCTAGCCATGATCAAGACTAACTGCAAAAAATAATAAGAGAAAGAGAATTACAATGATGACAAAAACAAGTGCATGGAAAAACCTATTTGTAGGCATCATATATAGTGAGATATACAAGGAAGAAAATTGTATTTCATGAATCTAGAATAGAAAATATTGGCATTTTGAAAAGAAAGGAAATAATATTATTAGGTATTTAAAGATAATTAATTTAGTTTCTATAGTTGATTGCAATTACTACGTATTATTATGAATTTTCCAATTAGTGGTATAATCCATTAGGGATATTTGTTTTAATTATTTGGTTTATTTTTCTAGTTGACAATATAAATTATTTCCTTAATTATTATTTCTTCTACTAATCCATGATGATTAATTGTTTGAGCAATGATATGGCAGTAACTATAGTATAAAATCAAGAGATAATTATGTGCACATAATTGTCTATATAGTATTACCAAACAAATAATTCTAGAAAAAAAAATATATTAATTTAATTAGAAACTAATTAGTCAATAAAAAATACTAGAAAGTAGAATTAATTTGTGCATTTATTTAGATGTTATTATTATTGTTATTATTATTTTCTTTTTACCTACCATGAGTATGAAGGTTAATGGCCTTAATAATTGTTGTATTAAGAGAATCTAATCTTTCTCATAGGTAAAAGTCATTCTTTTACATGCTTATGATTGACTTTTGGGGATCCTTTTTTACTAGCTCGAAAAATAATATTGACTTAGCTTTTATCTGTAAGCTTTGTCGAAGCTTCAATTCCAACTTAGCAAAACCACCCTGAGTGATTGGGTGAAGTGATAGAGACTCTTAAGTGTATTACTTAAGATGTTTTGAGTTTGTTTTCTTTTACTTGCTAATAAAGGTAGCCACTGGAAGGTTTACTCGGTCGTTAACTTCATGTCTCAAGATATTAGTAAAGGTGAGCATGGGTAGTTGGTAGAACCGAAACCTGCAGGTAGAATTAGAATCGGAACCTGCATGTAGAATCAGAACTAGAACTGGAACCTACTTGGAACCAACATTGTACGAGTAGGTTCCAATTCCCTTTTTTTGGAACCAACATTGTGCGGCTCCTATTCCAATTCCGATTCCTACATGTGAAGGAACCAGAACTGGAACCTGGAAAAAAAAAACCTACAACGGGTATCCGACTTGGAACCTGCAACGAGTACCCAGTTTGGAACCTATTTTGGAACCTAATCTGAAATGAAATGTCTGTGAAGAATGGGGGGTATATTGTAATTTTACATATAAAAAATTTTAAATGGAAAATTTTAATTTTTTACAATAACCTAATTAAATAAATATACAATTATACTTATTACATATAAACTACAACATATAATTAATATTAAAGTTTTGGTTAATTAAGTGTATAATTGGAATTATGACCAATTAAAAGTGTTTTAATGTTATTAAAAGAATTATTTTTAAATAAAATAGTATATTTGATTGAATAATAATATAATATTTAGTTATTTACTTCAATTATTAAGTTCTAAATATATCTTTAGTAAATTAGTAATTAATTAATTATATATGATAAATTGATAAACATTAATATATTACTAGTTAAATGATTACTTAATCAATTATAACATTACATTATAGTTAAGTGATTACTTAATTAATTATAAGTTTATAACATTGCATTAGTAATTTAGTACATTATTTAATTAAATAATTAGAAATTTAATTTATTATAATAATACATTATAGATTTATAGTATAATTGCTTAATTAATTATAACATTATATTATAAACAAATGATTACTTAATTAATTATAAAATTTCATTATAAGCATTAATACAATACTTAATTAAATAATTAGAAATTTAATTAATTATAATATTATATTAAAAAGTTATAGTATGATTAATTAATTCATTATAACATTACATTATAGTATGATCACATAATTAATTATAACATTACATAATTAAATGATCGTTTAGTTAATTATGACATTATATTATAAACATTAGTAATTTACTACATTAGCACAATACTTAATTAAATGATTAGAAATTTAATTAATTATAATATTACAGTATAAATTTATAGTATGATTACTTAATTAATTATAATATTTCATTATAAACATTAGTACAATACTTAATTAAATAATTAGAAATTTAATTAATTGTAATATTACATTAAAGATTTGTAGTATGATCACTTAATTTATTATAACATTATATTATAGTATGATCACATAATTAATGATTATTTAATTAATTATAACTTTATATTATAAATATTAGTAATTTACTAGGTTACCATAATACTTAATTATCATTATGTCCTAACTCTTATCTTTATATTTTGTTTGCTGTTTGCTGTTTGATTTGAAATTTGAAATTTTCTTATTTACAGGAAAATCCCTCAGAATCAACTGCCTTCACCCTTCAGTCTCTCCAATGCTGTAAATGGTTGCTGGAACATTTATCATTCTGCTTTTAATTGTTGTTTACTAGCTGAGAATGACAAATGAAGAAATTTTAAATTCTGTTTTCCCTTTATTGGATGGAGTAGACCTTGCTTCCTGTATGGTGGTGTCTAAGCAATGGAGGGACATAGCGGGGGATGATTACTTCTAGAAATGTTTATGAGCAAGGAGGTGGCCTTCAATTTGCAAGCGACCTAAGCCTCCCACTGTAACCTACTTCAAACTATATCAGACCTTTTATAAACGGCAGCAGCGTCGAACTCTTTTGCCACCAAGGCTTTCTTTCGAGGATTTGGAATTTTTCATTGACGTTTGGACTGAGGATAGATTGATTTTCTCCGAAGTGGTCCCAGGCCCTGTCTTCCAGAATGGAATCGAGATTCCAGACATGCTACGATATCATCTTGAGGACCCTGAGTACAAGATGACTATACCTGTTGAACCAAGGTTTACTATTCCTTGGAGCCGGACAGTGAGTGCTTCATTGCATGTGAGACGGAAGGATTCCAACATAGTTGCTTGTATAACTAATAAATCTAGGTTTGATTACATAGATCGATCATCCCACAGGGCTCATGCATTCGAGTATCTTGACTTCCCCCCTGCTTACCCTTTCACTTCTGGAACCCGAGCTTGGATTTCTTTGCATTTCATGGAAGATAGAAATGAAGGTGTCCTTGATGTTTTTGGGCTTGAAATGGATTTCTGTGATGCTGCAAGCTCCAAGGAAGAGGTCCTGTGGCTATCAGACATGCTAGATTGGAAATGAATGCCGAACCCTTGGCCAAGCCAAGAAATTGACGCATCAAACTTTGGTTCAAACTAGTTATCTATCTGTATATGGGTCTTAGCTATTTCGCCTATTCTGTGGAGGGCTGTCTCTGGAGAGTTGTTTGAATTCCCTTCCTCACCTTCCTTGCAGGGACTATCCCAAGTGGTTCAAGTTTCATGCATGTTCAAAGCCTACATACCTTCTAAATATTATAGCTGCCAATAAATACTGAACTTTGTACTCAAGTCCGGCACATGCTGAGGTTAGATAATTATCCTTCTTAAGAAGGTGCAATCCCTAGACTGTGTTTTGTACTGTGTGATACATTGTGAACACTGTAATAAAATCTTCGAATATTCTACTTATAAATCCTTTGTTGCTGCAACCCATTTTTGCTTTTATCAGTTAGATAATAAATTCAAAAGCTACCGCTGAATTTGTACTGTAGCTATGAAAATACATGATGGTTTGTGGATCAATTACGCAGCGGAAAAAAAAAAAAAAAAAAAGAAATCGATCCAGAAAACCTTAAAGCCCAACGATCCTTATACGGTTCTACATCATTTAACATAAACAAATATATAATCATAAGATCTGAGATTATACTAGCCTTTGAAGGCTCCTCCGATTGATGTGAATCACTCCTACTCCAAGATAGGTCCAAGATAGGAATGAACTTCTGATATTTACACGAAGACAGGATTACAATTATCAAGGGGTTCAATGTGCTAACAAACCCGCAAGGATCAAGAATAAAAATTGCAGAATTTTTCTTTCTCTTCTGTGCAGAGAAAACGTGTGAGAGAGAGGAGTGGCCAGGGTTTTCTTCTTGCAACAAAAACATATGTATATTCTATTTTAAGTTGCCTTTAAATAGGCAACCAAACAAAAACCCTAATCTAGTTAGGAATAATCATTAAGTTTATTCCATAACTAGAATAGCAAATCGCCATTACCAAGCAAGGTAATATTCCACAAGGCATTTTATTTAAATTCAAATGTGAATTACCAATTAATTGTCTCACTAAACACATACTAATATTAACTCTAATAAGGCATCATGGCCATCTGATAGATTCGGATTCAGCGAAACAACTTACCTATCAACAATATGGTCACCATGCAATTCAATCCCTTCATCGTCCATTATCTCATTAAGGCCGAGGTATAGAAGTAGTGTCAACCTTGGATATCCTTGATATCTCGATATTCAGTTATTAGACCAACGACCAGAATAGATTGGATTGAGCTATAACTCAATCCTATTATGGCCACAAATTTAATGTCGTTGCCATCTACCGAATTACTCAGCACAAAAATTTCTCTCGTATCCGGGAGTGATGAATCCTTTATCGATCCACCATAGTCTCGATACACTTCTGAATGTAACCAATCATTACCGTTCTGATAGTTCTGAATAGAACTACGTTAGGCTAGTGTCAAACTATGTCAATTAGTACACAAGACACTCCAGTGATCTTGAGTCTAAGGATGACGTGCACCGCCATCCGTTGGAGGATTTATTCCACAGACACTAGGATTACTATCTGTTAGAGTAGGTGTACTAGAGTCAACATTTTGACTCTTGTAAAAATATTATTTGTATAAATAAAAGGCATTGCTTATTTAAAGCCTATATACTATAGCATCTATTTGATGCATGTAAAGAAATAGTATATGTCCTTAGAAAGGTTGAAACCAGTGACGAGGGAATTAAGTATTCTAAATCTTAATTGCGAGAACTCTATGAGCATAAATGGTGGTCATTCTAAAACCGCTCATAATTATAGTATAAATCTGACCAAAGACACAGATTATATGGAGAGACTATCATCACATTGAACGACCCTATCGAAAAATAGTTATATATCTCACATGTAAAGGTTGTGGGCATCAACCTGGTGCAATGCATATGTGTTGGCTTATGCAAGTCAACTGGATTGATCCATTAGAGGATTCCATACAAGATGGTAGACCCAGTGTCTATGGAATACATCCTCTTACAGATGGTGGTGCATGTGGTCCTTCAACTTTAGATCAGCACAGTGTCGTGTGTAAATGTCGATGTGATTTGATACTAGCGCAACATCATCTCTTTTAGGGATTACCTGAACGGTGGTAATTGGTTACATCAAGAAATACACTATAGCTATGGTGGATCAACAAATGATTCATCACTCTTTGTTACAAAAGATCTTATCTCGGCGAGATATTTGGTTAAGAACTACGACCTCAAAACCGTGGCCACGGTGGAATCGATTGGTGCTTGAATCCGATTTTATATAGTCGTGGATTCGACAACCAAAAATAAACATGTGAGGGTCCTCAAGATGATATCGTAGTATGTTTGGAATCTCGATTCCATTCTGGAAGACAGGGACTGGGACCACTTCGGAGAAAATCAATTTATCCTCAGTCCAAACGTCAATGAAAAATTCCAAATCCTCGAAAGAAAGCCTTGGTGGCAAAAGAGTTCGACGCTGCTGCCGTTTATAAAAGACCTGATATAGTTTGAAGTAGGTTACAGTGGGAGGCTTAGGTCGCTTGCAAATTGAAGGCCACCTCCTTGCACATAAACATTTCTAGAAGTAATCATCCTGTCCTATGTCTCTCCATTGCAGGAAGCAAGGTCTACTCCATCCAATAAAGGGGAAAACAGCCTTTAAAATTTCGTCATTTGTCATTTTCAGCTAGTAAACAACAATCAAAAGCAGAATGATAAATGTTCCAGCAACCATTTACAGCATTGGAGAGACTGAAGGGTGAAGGCAGTTGATTCTGAGGAATTTTCCTGTAAATAAGAAAATATGAAATTTCAAATAAAACAGCAAACAAAATATAAAGATAAGAGTCTAGAACATTAAAAGCAAAGATGCAGCTGAGAATTGTTAGGACATATTGCTGTTTGTTTATTCCCTAAAGAAAACATGTCTTCGATTGTAACTAGCCATATGAGTGGACGCGCTAACTTTAACTGATGTTGTTGATGCAGGATTTTGGGCACCAACTAATCAATACGTGTGCAACGTTGATTGATCAAAAAGCACACGTGTTTATGAATATATAAAGAGAAATAAATGTTATGAAAACTTTTAAAGTGGTTCGGATGCTAAGGTAGCAAGTCCTACGTCCACTGATTTGTATTGATAGTGAGTGTGGGTCAGGTCGCAACAACGGACTGACTTACAAGAGGTTTAGAAAAAGTAAATGTGTTGTTTACAGGAGAGAGAGAGAGAGAGACTGATTTTTTGGTAAAAATGGTCGAATCCCCCTCATGAAGGGGTCTCCCTCTTCTTATATCAAGCTGAAGCATGTAATCATCATTAAATCCTTGGGTTGGTGTGATTGTCAGGATATAATCCGGCTTTATCTCCCATCACCTTCTTCCCAAGCTGACTTCGCACGGTTTACAGCAGGGAAATGGACACGTGGGAGCTCCATATCGTTTGGCAGGCCTGACGTGTGTTTGTTGTTCTGACGGGAGCAGGTCATTCTCCACGTGACCCCCCTACGTCAGCCCTTACCTTCCCAGGCATAACAGATGTCAACCGATAACAATTCACCAGCCTCTAAGTTACTAGGACATAATCATAATCCACACTATGAAGAATTGTCTAAAACACACAGCAGGACCATCAATACATATTTGAGAACTTTTATGCAAAGGGAATGACCAACCACCTCCACAATCTATATGCTTTCTCATTCAAAACCCGATCCATGTAAACTAGCTCTTATTCAGATGGTCATGATCCACTGTTCTTGTTAATACAAATAGACAATTAAATCAATGGCCTTTCAAAATACATCCTTCTTTCAGCCTAAAAATATCAAATCATTAACGATTTGAAGACCTATTATTTGTAACAACAAATTGCAGAGTTGGTCATTCGGACCTTTCACAGCCAATTACATATAAATAATTGTGATTCCATTAATGTAAGTCAACTTAGAATATAACATTGTTTCACACAGTTAAACCATGAAGCTAACCGTAGACACACCAGGATGATAAATGCACAAGGACACCCAGTGAAGGAGCCGCCAACGGAAGGTAAGTCCTAAACTTGTATGGGCTGAATTTATATTGTGGATTACTATATCGAGTTGTGATCTTGGGTTATGGGGTCGTGTCATGGCAAGAAAATTTTTGTAATTCCACGCTTGCCACAACACAATCCCTACACTATCTACGTGGAATCTTTTAGTGGGTCTGTCAAATGAATTTACTTATGACAAACACTTATGTATTGTACCAGGTTGTCGACAAACAATTTTGACAAATGAGATCAATCAATGTCTTTCGACAAAGTCATTCAACATTATGATAGTCTTACCGTATTATCTGTGTCCTTAGTCAGAATAATATCAGGGCTACAGACATTTCTAGAATGACCAGCATATGTGATCATAGAGTCTTTACTATCGAGATTTGAAACACTCGATACTTTTGTCACGGTTCTACCGTTCTAAGGACATGCATTGTAACATATAATTAAATACGAATTATATAACGTCGAGAATGTCTTTTATTAATTATAAATATTATTACAAGAGTCAACATTTACAAAATGGATTGACTCTAGATCACCTACTTTAACAATACATTCATCAACATAAGAGAAGATCCCTAGAAATTTATTCTACCATCGTAAGTTTGGCCAAAGCGCCAATTAACCGGGGCAGCATTATTGAATTGCACCATCTTCCCATCACTAGTAGTGACTTGGAATGACAAACTTTGCCCCACTAAGGCCCTTCCACTCTGCCAATTCTGGCCCCAATTGCGATTCATTTGCTGCCAACCTGAATTAGACCCCTTGATTTTAACATTGGTAACATCACCAGCACCACCAACATTGTACACTGTAACCAGTGTCCAAAATCTGTTTCCTTTGATCTCAAACTTGACTCCTCCTTGTTTGGAACACAAGACTCTGCGATATCGAACAGGGATGACCCCGGCTTTGTAGTTAGCAAGTTTCACAAACATTGGCATGGATAAATCAAAGTGCTTCTGTGGAGGGTTGCACCAAACATCAGTCGTTTTAGTGAAGTTTGGAGGGCAGAAATTGGTGGCTGTAATCTTGATGGTGCCTGCATTTGGTATGCACCATCGGGGATCATTCACACACATTATTTCAAAACAAGCACCACATGTTGATCCATGGTTGAAGAGGGCTGCGCTTAGAGCTGCTGTCTTAAGTCCATATCCTTGCTTGAAGAGATCTCCATACCCACAAGCTCCCTCTGTCAATAACACACCATTCAAATTATCAGACATTTTGCAACTCAAAATGTTATATATCCAGCAATGGAATCAAGAAATTATATTTAGGGAACTATAGTAGGGACAGACCCAAATTTAAAATGTTAAAAGGGACAAATTAAATAATTTAATATATATAACTTTAGAAAAAGTAAAGTAAGATAATAACTAATTTAATATACAATATGGAAAAAGTTAGTGAGTTGGACTAAATCTGGAAACATTAACAAGATTAGAACCTCGTCAAAACAAAAAACAAAGCAAATCAATAAATATTTTTTTGAGTGGGGGCTGGTTCCAAACAGTACAAAAACCATATTACTTCTTTTGTTTTGCATCCAAGAATTAACTTTTGTTAGCGAGAATTTAAGTTCAGATTTAACGTTGAGAGAGACAAATATATTTGCACATGAATCATATATAGGTAATAGAACAAGTATTTTATAAATATGTACCACAAAGTACGGAAGCTTTATGATTTATGTTGTTTTGCATGGAAGAGTTAACTCTTTTTAGCAAGAGTTTAAGTTGAGATTTAACATCAACAAAGACGGATATATACGTAAATGAATCTTGCATAGAGACTTACGCATGGTCTCGCCTCCCTTCATGTCACCATAAAATGTGGCATGACCATAATACCATGCAGTATCTATGGCCATGGCCATTGCCATTAGCAAATGAAGAACCACGAACATGACGAAATTCTTAAAACCAGCCATGATCATGACTAATAGCAAAAATAATAAGAGAAGGAGGATTGAAACTATGATAAAACAAGTGCATGGAAAAAGCTATTTGTAGGCATCATGGTAAGGTACAACAGAAAGTTCTATAGTGGAGTGCAATTACTAATTATGATTATTAGTTTTCCAATTAGCGGTATAATCCACTTCCTAAAAGAGAGGTTACGGATATTTGTTTTAATTATTTAAAGCTATTTGGTTTATTTTTCTAGTTGACAATATAAATTATTTCCTTAATTAGTGTTTCTTGTACTAATCCAGGGTGATTAATTGTTTGAGCAATGATGTGGCAGTAACTATTGGATAAAATCTAAATCAGTTAAAACTCAAGAGATAATTATGTGCACATAATTAAGTCTATATATAGTATTACCAAACAAATAATTCTTTAAAAAAATATTAATTTAATTAACAAAATACTAGAAAGTAGAATTCATTTGTACATTTATTTACGATTATTATTATTTTCTTTTTACCTACCAGCAGACCAAATGATAAGCGTTGATACAAAAAATCGCATCAACCTGAGAGATTCGATTGACCGTCATGGAATCGGAAGGGATGTGTGCGTGATCTAGAGTGATCAGCAATGCAATGAATATTAAAAAGACATAAAATAGATTTTTAAAGTAGTTTTACAAGTAAGAACTTGAGCCTACGTCCACTGTTATGTTATTGTTTTGAGAGCTTACAAGAACATATAAACTGAAAGTAAAAAATTGCTAACCCCTCCCTCATAGTTGGAGGGGGTATTTATACAAGTTTGTAAGATAGTGCTACCAGTGATGTTGATCTTATCCCTTCCGAAATATCCGAGATTTAAACTTATCTCTGGTTTGTCGAACAATTGTCAGTATTGGTTGCAACTAGCTTGTGTTGGGTCGAGCTTTCCTGCTCAACGAGCTTATGCTGGGTTGGACCAAAGCTGAGTCGAAAAGATTTTGGGTCTAGCTACAATATTCGAGATTTGAACTTATCTCTGGTTTGTCAAACAATTATCAGTATTGGCTGCAACTAGCTTGTGTTGGGTCGAGCTTTCCTGCTCAACAAGCTTATGTTGGGTTGGACCAAAGCTGAGTCGAACAGATTTTGGGTCCAACTACATTTCACGGGCTTTCGGTTTCTCCAAGCTTAATGGCAAAAATCATACATAACAGTAAGTATTCATGTTAATGGCCTTAATAATTGTTGTATTAAGAGAAACTAATCTTTCTCATAGTGTTAAAATCATTATTTTCCATCCTTATGATTGACTTTTGGGATCCTTTTATCCTAACTCGAAAAATGATATCAAATTAGTTTTTATTTGTAAGCTTTGTAGAAGGTTCAATTCCAACTCGAGTTAGTAAAATGAGTTTTGACTTTTGAGAGTTAAAAATTAGGTAAATGATATGACGAACATGCAGAGTTGTCATAAGGGTTTCCACGACCAAGTTGTATAATTGAGAAGTAGCAATGTAACTTCGGGTCTAGATGAAAGTAAATAAAATACAGGGAACATGTTCACAAAATTTTTTTGCCTTTGAGGCTGAAGCTTACCAAGGAAGCTCAAGTCAGGTGCTTAACTTGTCATAGACTCTGCGCAGCCAAATCCAAGGGCATTTTAGTAAATTCAAGATTTAAATATATTACATAAAAATTAAAAATACATTTAGATTTTAGACGAGATTACAGGGGCATTTATGTCAGATTCGACTGGTGTAATGTAAAAAGTGAATTAATTTGAAAATTAGTTGAAATTCTTAAAGTTAATAGAAACATGTCTATTTTCAAAATCAATGGAAATTACAAATTAATCAAATTCACCCAAATCATAAAATAATTTTGAAAAAATGTGCTGTGTTGCACATATTCCTCCCCTATAATAATTATATAAATAACTCAAAAATAAAAATAAAAATTACAAAATACTCAAGGACCAGGGTTATTTTGGTAAGTTCCTTAATCGCAGACATTTTTTTCAGACCTACAAAACCCAATCTTGTATCCTTCCCCAAAAATCTAGCTAAAAATAATTTTCCCCGCCATTTGTTTCTATCATTTTCATTTTTCCTCTAGGGCTCAAAACTCTCCCTCTCTCAAATTCGCCCTAATTCCCCCCAAATTCCCCTCCGACCCCTCGCTCTTCATGCTTTTCCTCTGCAACTCGCCGACTCACCGGTTAATTACTTAATCGATGAGCAGCTTTACAAGTAATTCAGCTTCGGGCTCGGGCTCAGGTGCGGGCCCGGCCTCCTGGGGCATCGGACTGTCCAACACCATACACTCCGAAGTAGCTCCGTGCTTGCCGTTGCCGTCGCTTCAGGTCTTCTGTGGCGCGACGGATCCGGACCTCTGTCTGTTCGATGAAGTGAGTACTGGTAGTTATGGTAGTTATAGGTCGTTGAATCGTCCCGAGATTCTCGCTCAGTCCAGTCGAATTGCTGATCTGCTTCGCGAAACCGATGTTTCTTATTTGTAAGTGTTGAGTTTTTTCTTTTTAATTTAGTGCAAATAATAAGCAAGCTAAACTTTAGACTTTTTTTTTTGGAAGAAGAAGTTTAGGCGATGTGTTTGATTCTGAAACTGTAAATTATTTTTGTTTGCTTATTTGTTTCTTTAGTGTAAATTATGACGAGTTTAAGTGTTGACTGGTATATAGTTTGAATTTGTAATTTTAAGTTCGTTTTATTGTTGTGCGTGAATTATTTGTGTTTTAGTATTAAAACTAGCAATTTGAAAGTTAAACGTCTTTTTTTTTTTTTTTTAATTTAATTTTAAAATTTAAGTCCTAAGTTACTACGAGTTTGAATTTTGACTGTATTTGAATTGCTACAAAGTTCTTTTTGAATTTGGATGCAAAAGTTTGACCATAACTGGTTCGTTAGTTAGTATTTTAGTGTAAAATTCAGTGTTATCAATGCTTTGTGTGATGTCATGTTTATGCTTTGTTTAAGCAGCTTAATTATGAGCAAGTCAGAATTGCAAACTTTTTATTTTTGAACTGAGGCGACATGTTTCCTTTTTGAACTGTGTATGCTTCAGTGTAATTGATTTTATTTGTTTGTTTCTGTAGTGTAAATCCTATGAGTTTGAATTTCTACTGTATTTGAATTTGCTTCTTAGTGTTTTCAAATTTAAATGTAAAGTTTTGACCATAATGTTAAGTAAGGATATGAATTGAGAAACATAAGCTTGATTGCAGTTATCGATTTCTTGGAACAACTGTTTGGAAGTACTATTTAGACAAAATTTGATTTATTATATTGATGGATGAACTAAGCATGTGTATATTATGCGATTTCTGTAGAAAATTACTGGCAGAGTAGTGGTTTTCTTTAATGTATGGTTTCATTTGTCTCTCTCTCTCTCTCTCTCTTTCTTTTGTAGGCATCTTAGAGACCAGCTAAATCCAGTTTCGTGTAGCTATGTGGAGCCCTTAGAACTTCACAACCAAGTTCTCCAATGTGATGCTGAAGCTTTTGAGTATGTCACTCCTGGTAAACAAAGTATACTCGGTTGCTCTGTGTTTTTCTTTTTTTAATTTGTCCTAACCTAGTACATTGTCTGATGCTACATTAAGTATAATTACATTTGATGGACTAGACCAATGTCCCCTTATTCTGATATAGTTTTAGGGAAAAACTACACTTACAATCCAATCTCACAAACTTTCTCTCATAACCCCGACATGATAGCTCGCAATTGGTTAGCTCGTAATAGGTCCTGTCTGCTTAATTACGAGCTGACCAATTGCGAGATGTCACCCCAAAAAAGTTTGTAAGATTGGGTTGTGAGCTAATCTTTATTGATAGTTTAATGAGGGAAGCACTTTAACATTAAAATTTATTTTAAATTTTGCAAGGGATAATTTTTTTTAACTTATGTAGTATCTGCATTAAGCTGTCACTTTTTCAATTGAGGACATGGATGAAGATTAGTGGCAGCTTATGACAAGTTGCCAAAAGGGAGTTGTTCTGTTGGATATATAAGTCTATGGGTTTTGAAAAAAACTAGAGGTACAAATGGATTACTAATTACCATCAATTTACCGAAGTTATCTAGAATTTATCATTTTAATTATGCAGTTGCCATGTAAAAGGGTATGTTCTAATATGGTTATGAAATGGATTATTATTTACAATGAAAATTGTTGAGCAATCAAAAAACATGTATGATTGAGTAACCTGTTCTTGTGAATAACAATGCTGGTTAGGAGAATTTTTGTTTTTTATAAAATTTTATGTATGAAGAAATGCAAGAAGGTTGGTAAAAATGATTTACTTGTGGGAAACTACACATATCGTTCTTGTCAATGGATTAGGTGAAGTCCTTTTGTACATTTTGTTACAAGTGCTCACAACCCAATCATGCCTTCATTTTAAATGAGTTATAGTGGTTTGCTTCATAATTCGTTCTAATTATTCAGCTCTATTTAAATTAGTTTCTCTTTGGAGATTTGGAATATTAGCAAATCATACCCCAATTCATCTAGATTGATGTTAGTGGTCGAACGGGCCATCTTGGCTTTGGTGTTGGGTTGCAAGATTGATGGAAACAGGTTTATTTTACACATCCTTATGCATGTAAACATGCTACTTTTTGTGCTACATGCAACATCCTCTTATGCCTAGTTATTTAATCACAGTTTCCATCAGTTATTCATATTATGTATCTGCTATAGTTGACAGTAATCTATCAAAGACTACTCCAAGGGGTTTTGTTTTGGCTTCTGAGCAGACTTTTGAATGGAATCAGCCTGAGCTTTGACTCATTATTTATCTTTAAAGAGCTTTGCATGGGTAGATACATTCTTTTTTTTCCCATCCAGGCCCACCTTTCTATTATATTTCCAACTTAGTACATAGTTTGTTGCTGTTGCCGAAGGTATATATTACTGTGAGTGTTGAGGTTCTGATGGAATCAAATTGTTTCATTGTTAACCTACTTAAGCAGGAATTTACAAATTCTATAATTATAATAGTCTTGTTGCTATGTTTGTTATTTATGCATGTGCCTTCTCCCCTCCCTTTGTGGTGTACTGTTACTTATTAAATGATCTTAGCAGTTGCTGTGCTTATTGTTTATTGCATTGTTCAAGTTTCTCAGGTCAAATTAAGGAGCAAGTCTCTGGTCGTGCTGTTTTTGAAAGGAAAGACTCTCGGACAAGTGTACCTGTTACAAGTTCTGGTCCGGTTGTTTTTGAAAGGAAAGACTATCAGACAAGTGTACCTGTTACAAGTTCTGGTCCTGCTGTTTTTGAAAGGAAAGACTTTCAAGCAAGTGTACCTTTAACAAGTGGTTTCCAAAGGGATTATAATGAATCTCAGAATCACCAGCTCAACCGTGTTCTTGTAAACGTGTGTATACAGTTTGCTTTTCCAGTTGGTGATTGATTTTAAATCTGTCTAGCTAATATAGAAGTTGATATTGCAGGAAATATCCACATCATCTTCCAGGAAACCAAAAGTCAAGAAGAGAGCTGGTAATGACTTCTCTTCATCAGCTCAACGAGATCCTACTGAGCTTCGAGGTTGGTCTTCTTGGTTCTCTGTTTCATTTGTCTTATTGTACTCTCTCTCTGGATCCTCCCCCCTTATATTTTGATAAATATCATTATGTTGTTTCTTTTTAGATGCTGCCGTTGAGAGCTTCTGTGAGATGTTGGAGGACTTTTGTGGCAGAGCTACAACTCCCACTGATGATCAGAATGAACCTGAGTGGTTATCTTTACCTGTTGCTGACATTAGAATGCTTGTAAATGAAATAATGTCCGTACGTGCAAAGAAGCTTCTACATTTGGTTTCAGTAGATATTCTTGTGAGACTATTACAGGTCCTTGATCATCAAATACATCGAGCAGAAGGTTTGTCAATTGATGAACGAGAGCATGTAAGTTACTCTGATCACTTTTTGTTAGTTGTTCTGCTGGTTTGTGATTATCATTTCTTCAAAATGGTTTAGCACAACATCCATTCTTCTGGTTCTGGGTTGTCACTTGAAGATTGGAAATATTTAAAAATGATTTCTGTGTTTATTTAGATGATAGTTTACTTGCTTCCCTTTCCATGGCACATGCCTGTCAGAGACTCAGATAATGGTGTTGTATGTTCTAGCATCCAACTCTTCGCCTAAGCTGTCTTTTTTGATAACTCACACATATTTACTTCATGCCAATATTTTGTGAAGTTTTTAGTTCTGTAATTGCGATATCACTGCCTTCTTAAATATTTATTTTTTCTTTTAATGATATCAATTAGTTTGAGATGTAACAGGCTGTTACATTAATTTCATCTCATTGATATTACAATACACTGATTCAATTTACTTAATAAATTGATTATATTTGTTCCTAATATATTATGGTGAAAATTTTTCAGCAAGATTCAGGTGCAGTTGCAACGGTCTTTTGTGCCCTGGAATCGATTCATGCAGCTTTAGCAGTAATGGCTCATGATCAAATGCCAAAGCAGCTTTACAAGGAAGAGGTACACCCTTTACTTTTTCTTTTTTTCTTTTTTTTTTTTTTTTTGGTTAAATTCAGTAGTGCTTTACTTATATTTACCTGCTAATTTACTTTCTTTATGTTACTATGCCTTATTGTGATTCTCTCTGATCTATAAACCATGATGATGGATTATACTATGACTCTACCAGATCATTGAAAGGATTTTGGAGTTCTCGAGGCATCAAATAACAGATGTTATGTCAGCTTATGATCCAACATACCGTGCTCTGCATAAACCAAGTGAAAATGGAGCATTTGAAGGTTGGCATTCTGATTTTTCCAAGAAGCTGAATTTCTCTGTTTTCGAATTCCTATGTCTTTTGCTTTTGTGTGTTCTGAATATATCATATTATCTCTAGATCCATTTGTGTATAGATTATTACCTCTTTTTGCGTTTTTTGGGCCTTCTTTTCTGCTATTTGATATTGAAGCAACCATGTTTTGTTTTAGAATTCTGCAATTTACTTTCAGTTTTTTCCTACTGAGTACGTATTCTACAATCTGTTTTCCAGCTGATGAAGATGAAGAATTTGATGCTGACTTTGGTTCGTCTAGCAAGAGAAGACGCAGTATCAAGACTGTCAAAGTGAAGAAATCTGCTTTGAACAAGTGTGCTTATCAATATGCTGTTTCTATACACATTGAATATTTAACTTTTTTAGTTTATTAGAAGTCAGATTTCTTATTGTTTATATTTTTGCCTTTTCAGGGTCTCTGGTGCTATGAATTCCATACTTCAGAAGCTCTGCACTATTCTTGGTTTACTCAAGGATCTGTTGTTGATAGAGAAATTATCTGATAGTTGCATTTTACAACTGGTGAAGACAAGCTTTACAACATTTTTGGTGGACAATATCCAGCTCTTGCAGTTAAAGGCTATTGGTTTAATAAGCGGGGTAAAATTCTATAATGGATATATACCAACTTGTGTGCATACATAATAAATATGTGGTCATGCTGTAATGCTGTTTTTCCAATCTCATATTTTTTGCCGATGGTTCTGCAGATATTCTACTCATACACTCAGCATCGAACGTATGTGATAGATGAAATACTTCAGCTTCTTTGGAAGTTACCATCCTCTAAGCGAGCATTGAGAACGTATCACCTGCCTGATGAGGAACAGAGGCAGATTCAGATGGTTACTGCATTGCTGATTCAGTTGGTTCACAGTAGCGCAAACCTCCCTGAAGCTTTCAGGAAAGCATCGAGTGGTAATTCCATCTTGGAAGTTTCAATTGATGCTATTTATCCCACCAAATGTCATGAAGCAGCAACAGAGACATGCTGTCTTTTCTGGACGCGTGTTCTTCAGCGCTTTACAAGTGTAAAAACTCAGGATGCCAATGAGCTGAAAGTAATGATGGAGAATCTTGTCATGGATTTACTGACAACATTGAATTTACCAGAATATCCTGCTTCTGCTCCTATTCTGGAGGTGAGATACATATAAACTATATTATGTTATTTAGTATTTGCATTTTAGTTTTTCTATTCTAAGGAACTATCATTTGCAGGTTCTTTGTGTCTTACTGCTTCAGAATGCTGGACTGAAATCCAAAGACATCTCAGCACGATCAATGGCCATTGACCTTCTTGGTACCATTGCTACCAGGTTGAAGCAGGAAGCTGTCCTCTGCAGTAGGGACAGATTCTGGATATTACAGGAACTGATTGAGGAGGATAATGTGGACAAGAATTACGCTAAAGATGCATGTTCTATTTGTTTGGATGGAAGAGTTGAAAAAAAGTTGTTTGTATGTCAAGTTTGTCAGAGACTTTTTCATTCTGACTGCATGGGGGTAAGAGAACATGAAGTACCCAATCGTGGTTGGTACTGTCAGTTTTGTCTCTGCCGGAATCAACTTCTAGTATTACAATCATACTGCAAGTCACAGTGCAAGGATGATGGAAAAAAGAGTCAGAATCAGTCGGAAAACAATTCTGAAGCTTCTGATACAATTACAAAACTTGAAATTGTTCAACAGATGCTCTTGAATTACCTTCAAGATGTTGTCTCTGCTGATGATATTAACCTCTTTGTTCGTTGGTACATACTGAACAAAGCTTTTTCATCGCAGGATTGTGTTTGCATTGATACTAAAGGGAAGATCATTTATCTGCAGGTTTTATGTGTGCCTATGGTACAAGGATGACCCAAAATCTCAACAAAAGCCCATGTACTCTCTTGCTAGAATGAAATCTAAAGCAATAGTGCGTCAATCTGGAACTGTTTCATCCTTGTTGACAAGGGACTCCATCAAGAAGATCACTTTAGCACTAGGGCAAAATAATTCTTTCTCTAGAGGCTTTGATAAGATTCTTCAAGTGCTTCTTGTGAGTGATTTTTTTTTTTTTTTTTAATTATTTACTAGTTAAGATAATATTTACTCTTACTTAATGATTTGTCTCCAGGCTAGCTTAAGGGAAAATTCTCCTATAATCAGGGCTAAGGCTTTACGAGCGGTAATGGAAATGTTTCTTCTTAAGTTAAATATTTTATTGGAAAATGAATGTGCTGATGGTACTGAATCTCCTTTACTTTTTCCCTTTATTTTATGTGATGGGGAGCAGGTTAGTATAATTGTGGAAGCTGATCCTGAGGTGTTGTGTGATAAACGTGTACAATTAGCTGTTGAAGGAAGATTTTGTGACTCAGCAATATCAGTAAGAGAGGCAGCATTGGAACTTGTTGGCCGGCATATTGCTTCACATCCCGATGTTGGTTTGAAGGTTTGTTTAATCAACTGTATACATCCTTATATTTTGTTGGAACATTTTGATGGTAGATTGAAGTTATTAATCACTATTGCATTGTTCACCAAAAAACTTTGGGTTATGTGGCAGTATTTTGAGAAAGTAGCAGAGAGGATAAAAGATACAGGAGTGAGTGTCCGGAAAAGAGCAATCAAAATCATCCGAGATATGTGCACTTCAAATACTAACTTCTCTGGATTTACAACTGCTTGCAATGAGATCATTTCTCGTGTTAGCGATGATGAATCAAGTATTCAGGTAACTCAGAACCATTGATGTCCATGTGATTTTACAATTGTATTGCTAAATAATTTACTCTTTGCTTCCTGTGTAGATCGTTTCTTATGATCTTGTAGATATATTGCTACCTGAAATGATTCTGTTTTACTTCTTGGCAAACAATGTTGAGATAATGGTTTTGTCTTCCTAGTGCTGACCAATCAAAGTTAAAATTAATTTTCATTTGTGATGAGTATGTTTTGTGACATAAGAGAGAAGTTTGTACTTTATATCGTATATAAGGAATCTGGACCAGAGCTGGAGCAAGAGGGCAAGGCTCAGAAATCTGAAATCTTTTCAGAATGGCTCCAGAACACAAAATTTTCGCATTATTTTTTATGTCTGTATCTTTCACATTTATATTGGGATTCAGTTGTTTCGACTGCCCTCAATTTGCAGAAAAGGAAATGGAAAAATACCCAATAAACCAATTTTGCTCTCTGAAGTCTCTCCTCTTCCTTTGCTGCTGAAATTTTACAAATTAAGAGCAAAATTTTTTTATTAGTGTAAAATTCTGTATGAGGCAAAATTTCAAATACATGGATTCAATAGCTTTAGTAGGGGAATAGGACAGATTTTACTTTCGTAGCACAGATCTGTGGTCTAAGCAAACTGTTGTGTACAGTTGTACAGATTGCTTGGTTTAGGGGGGAATAAGCTGATGGCTTTCTGTGAGCTTATCAAGTACCTTACTATATGGGTTTGTACTAAATTTTCTGGATTGCTCTTCCCTTAGTGATCTTTTTACACTGGGAAGTTCCATGGAGTTGTTAAATTGGCTCACAAGAAACTTATTAGACTATGAGATGATAAATTATTGGCATCTTGCTTACACAACAGTAAGCATCAAATTCTGTATGAAATGTTGGTTCCCTGACACTTGTTCCTAATATTTACTCTTTGCTTTTCTACAGGATCTTGTCTGCAAGACATTTTATGAGTTCTGGTTTGAGGAACCTTCTGGATTGCAGACTCAGTATTTTGGAGATGGTAGTTCTGTTCCATTGGAGGTTGCTAAGAAGACTGAGCAGATTGTTGAAGTGTTAAGGGGAATGCCAAATAATCAGCTTCTTGTCACTGTCATTAAGCGCAACTTGGCCCTTGATTTTTTTCCACAGTCAGCTAAAGCTGCTGGGATCAACCCTGTTTATCTTGCATCAGTACGTAGACGATGTGAATTAATGTGCAAGTGCTTATTGGAAAAAATATTGCAGGTATTTTCTTAGCTTGTTCATACAGTACTTTTTGGGACTTGGCTTTGTTTATTTTTAAAATTTGTGTTGAGAAACTTGTACATGGCCAGGTAGAGGAAATGAATAGTGAGGGAGTGGAGAATCGTACGCTTCCTTATGTGTTGGCCTTGCATGCATTTTGTGTTGTGGATCCTACACTTTGTGCTCCGGATTCTGACCCCTCACAATTTGTCATCACTTTACAACCATATCTAAAGAGTCAGGTTATCTCAATTCTATCTTACTATGATTTATATTTGATGGCATTGTTTCTATGAAATGAATCAGGATAGGTGTGTGTGTATGTGTGTGGGAAAAAGTTATTTGTTTAGGCAAACTCAAGTTTCTTTTTTAATGCTTTTGGTTTGTTGGGTTGAATTAAATTTATACAGAATTGCTTATGTTTGAAGAATAATGGCACCTTGCTATTCCCTTGCAATATTTCTTTGGTGGTTTTAATCTAAACAATCTTCTTGATGGCATAGCCAAGAGGATTTCTTGAAAGTATTTAATGGGAATTCATGCAAGAGAATTCTATGTCTCTATTTCTTCCAATTTTCACTTTCTTGATATTGCCGTCATAAGCAACTACATTTGCAAATTCTCAACTGTTGGGAGCAGTGGCTGACCTTAATTGAATTTTACTTTTGTCCAGGTTGATAACCGAGTTGTTGCACAGTTTCTGGAGAGTATTATTTTCATAATTAATTCTGTCCTGCCCTTGATTCGAAAGTTACCTCAAAGTCTGATTGAAGAACTTGAACAAGACTTGAAGAACATGATTGTACGACATTCTTTTTTGAGTGTTGTCCATGCTTGCATAAAGTAGGTTCAGCTTCTCTCTCTTTTACTGATTGCAGTTGGCAGTTAATTTGTTGCAGTGACTTCAGCATGTGTATGTGCAAATTGTTTTGTTTGCATGAGAAATTTCCAATTCTTCAAGGTTTAAACTTTTTGCTAACAATTACAAGCTTTTTTAATTGGTCGTATATGGAGAGAAACTGTGAACTCTTTCATCTATTTATTTTCCAATCTTGGGCTGTGTGTGTGCATGTGATGCGTACAGGCCAGTGGTTGGTGTGAATTAGCATCTGACCAATTTTTTTCAAGCTGTCATGTGTTCCATCCCTTCAGAAAATAATCTTATCCATAGTTTCATAATTTCTTATGAGGCTTTATTGTTTTCTTACATAGGTGCCTGTGCTCTGTGAGTAAAGTATCAGGAAAAAGTTCGAGTGTTATTGCATATCTTATTCAGGTTTTTTTCAAGTATTTGGATGGCCAGAAGTCTGACAGCAATCAGGTTAGTTGGTTTATCAAGGTTGAATATATTTGTTTCATTGATTCTTTTTATTCTCTGCATCAACTTTGTTAGTATCTGACATCAGTGCTACCAACTTCTATTTCCTCAATGCTTTTTTATCGAGGAATGCCATGTTAAAATCCTGATGCATATCATTTGGTTGCAGATTTTTTTAGTATTTTGTCTTACAAACTTGTTTGGTCATGGTCATCATATACTTCCTACATCTTTTATTTTGTCTGATAAAGAAACTATGTACTGAATCAAATTGTATGTTGAGATTGTTTTTCCTCCTTTTCTTCCCATCAGTTTCAGCAAGTGGGGCGGTCTCTTTTTTGTCTTGGATCGCTCATCCGTTATGGGAATTTTTTGTTAAGTACCTCAAATGACAAAAAATTTGATGTTGGTAGCAGTCTTAGTTTGTTCAAAAGATACCTTCAAATGGACGATTTTAGTGTAAAGGTTAGATCTTTGCAGGTATGCTCTTTTGTGCTCTACTTTGTTCATATAAATATTGCTTTTATATTTGCCGTATTCAATTTTTTTTTTTAATGGGATTTTTGTAGGCTTTAGGCTTTGTTTTGATTGCTAGGCCTGAGTATATGTTGGAGAAGGACATTGGGAAGATATTAGAGGCAACATTAGCACCTTCTTCTCATATCCGTCTTAAGGTAAAGACATACCATCCCTTTTGATATATTCTTTTCATTCAATAAGTTCTCAACTCACTCTGTTGACCAGATGCAAGCATTGCAAAATGTGTATGAATATCTACTTGATGCGGAAAGTCAAATGGAAACAGATAAAGTCAGTAATAGTGAAGTTCAATATGCGGCAGAAGATGGCAGTGTGCCAGTTGCTGCTGGTGCTGGTGATACTAACATCTGTGGAGGTATAGTTCAGTTGTACTGGGATAAGATTTTGGGAAGATGCTTGGATGCTAATGAACAAATTCGCCAGTCTGCTGTCAAGGTGAGAAGCTAGGGTTAGTTTTTATTATATTATTATTATTATTATTATTATTATTATTATTATTATTCTAGGATCTCTTTTCTACGATAAGGAAGAACACTATGAACCTGGCCATAGGTTTTAGTCCGTGGTTATTAGATGGTTGATACTTGAGAAATTAGGTCTGTGGTTATATTTGGCATGCTTTGTGCTATTATTATTTAATTGAGTTTTAAGTTTTTATGTTGTCATTGTAGATAGTGGAAGTTGTGCTACGCCAAGGTCTTGTTCATCCTATTACTTGTGTTCCATACCTAATAGCCCTTGAAACAGATCCTCAGGAGGTGAACTCGAAGTTGGCGCATCATTTACTGATGAATATGAATGAAAAGTACACTCCTCAGATGCTTCTGGTGTTTCTCTATCCTGTCTATTACTTTATGCTTTCTAACAAAAAACCTCATTTCAGGTACCCTGCTTTCTTCGAAAGCCGTCTGGGGGATGGCCTTCAGATGTCATTTCTTTTCATTCAGTCCCTTGGTGGTGGTTCTCCGGACAGTCTAAACCAAAAGTTCCAGTCCAAGGCTGCAGGAAATATGAAAGGGAAATCTGATGGTGGCTCTCTAAGCCAAGCCAGGCTTGGAGTTTCTCGAATTTATAAGCTTATTCGTGGAAACAGGAATTCGAGGAACAAATTTATGTCATCTATTATCCGAAAATATGATAATCTTAGCTTGGATAATTCAGTTATCCCTTTTTTGATGTGAGTTTTAATTGCCAATCTTAAAATTCTTTTATGTCAGTTGTGAAAAATGACTTCAAAAGTTGGTTCTCTTTACAGATACTGCACAGAAGTCCTTGCTTTGCTCCCATTCACATTACCTGATGAACCCCTTTACTTAATCTATACTATAAATCGAATTATACAAGTTCGGGCTGGCACACTCGAGGCAAATATGAAAGCCATGAGTACAGGTTTGTTACAAAGAGATGCACAGAAGACTACGCATGAGAATGGAATGTTTCAACAGGAGTCATATCAGCGTGTTTACAATCATATCACTGCAATGGATTTGAATGGGACGATGAAGGAAGAGCCAGCTGCTGAGCCTATTTTCTATCAAATGACATCAATTGACTTGAATGGGACAATTCAACCAGAGCCCATTGTTCAGACAATCTCACATCATACTCCACCAATGGAGGCAAAGATGCATGATACAATTTCAGTTGAATCTTGTAGAATATCTGAAGAGGATCTACAGAAAATCCAGGTACTGCATGTAACAAAACTGAAGTTTTGAAAATTATAGAGAAAAAAGAATTCAAATCTATGCTTATATTATGCCCTGGAAAGAGCGGGTTTATAACATAGAAATCTTTGCTTACACTTGTATAGCACATTATTTTTGCCCAGTTATATCTTGAATTTTTGACATTGGGTTCACTGGGGTGGTTTTCAGATTGACTCGATTGCTGCTACTGCTTTGCAACTACTGCTGAAGCTGAAGAGGCACCTAAAGATTGTGTATAGTCTGAATGATGCCCGGTGTCAGGTAAAGCATAAAATTCTATGGGCCGTTTTTCAGTATGAGAGTCTTTACTCTTTTTTCTTTATTTTATTTTTTTTTTGATAATCCAACTACGAACTTATGTTATCTGACATGTTTACTTATAAACCAGGCATATTCTCCGACTGAAGTCCAAAAACCTGGAGAAATCCTTTCTAGACAGAGCATTGCCTTTGACATCAGTGATATACGTGTCACCTTACCATCTACTTATCAAGAATTTATACAGAGATACCAGGTAAGAAGATTGGGGAGCGTATATATCTTTTTTTTATTGGTCCAACAGTACTTACTGATCTCTCTGTGTATCATTTCTTACCATGTTCTGTCACCACCCAGGAATTCAAAAATGCTTTAAAGGAAGATACTGTTGACTACTCGGTTTACACAGCAAACATCAAAAGGAAGCGACCTACGCCCAGAAAAGGGCCAAGATCTGGACGAATGACTGGTATGGATGATGAAGATGGTTATAGTGACGAAGAATATGGAGTTGGAGTTCGGAGGATGAATAATAGTGGCCGAAAAGGTAACAGCTATAGAAGGAGATAGGCAGGGAGGGATGGTAGTTGTAAGTACATAACCTCTAGGCTAACATGTACATTATAGGAATAGATACAGGATAGGATGAAAAAGTAAGGAAAAGAATAGAAATGTGGAAAACAGGAGGAGGAAAACACGGCGCAGCCTGGAAATTTATTGGGTCTGTTAGGAAACCGAGTGTTTTCTGAATCTGTTTCCAATATGTAATTCGCCTGGCATTAGAGTCATTATATGCATTCTTTCTTTATATGAAATTCAACCCTGTTGTTTTTTAGATTGGTTTCCCATCACGTATTAAGATTGTAATTTTTTGGAAGAAATGTATTAGTGGTGGCTCAAATGCGATATGAAATCATCTTTATCACCTTTCATATTTTCACCAAAACGCATTTGATCATTTGATTTTGATCTCGTATTGTTGAAATTTGGTTTTTCATTAGAGTAATTTTACAGTCATCGAAGGTTGCGCACCGAATCTGTGCATCGAATGATGTGGTAAAATCTTGATCGTTGATTCATTATCAATTAATATTAATCAATGGTTAAGATTTTGTCATGTCATTCGGTGCATAGATTTGATGCGCAATCTATAATTTTTGTTTTCATTATTGACATATTATGACAAACTGGATCTCGTAAATTTCACTTGCCTCTTCTTTAAATATGTTTCAATGCTACTTAACTTTATATATTTTGTGCTTTTTAATTTTGAACCTCTTCTATCAAGTTTGGTTTAGAAAATTTAAACCTTTGATCTGGCTACATTAGAAGTCGTGACTCGTGACTCTTGATTTTATGATATCACAATTCACAAATAGAAATGAGAATTATCACAATTGTAATATATAACAAGCATCACATACATCCTCGACCTTTGCTCTATATTTCTCTTTACCTTCTTCGTCTCGGAAATTTAAAACGAAATAGAAATGCGATTTTTACTAAGAATTTGACTAATTCGTAAGATTAATTGTTTGATAATTTTGAATTTTGATCAGGCAGAACATGTTCTCACCCAAGGTTTGGTGAAATGACACTTTCTCACCCATCAAGTTTTCAAGTTTTAAAACGATACTTTCTCAATCGCACTCATTGATGATTTGCACTTGGCCGAGTGCGAATTAGTCGAAATAGCACCCAACCTTCTCACCACAGTCTTCTCACACAAATCAACACAAGATCTCAACCCTTATTCAAATCAACACACATCATTCAAATAAAAATTTTAAAAACTAAAAAAACAATAGTCGGATGGATTCGCGCTTGGCTAGGTGCGATTCCGACCAATTCGCATCTGGCCGAGTGCAAATTAGTTAAAATTGCACTCAGCTAAGTGCGATTCGAACAGTGGCGAAAGGCAAGCGCGCCAACAATCGAGCACTGTCACAGTGAGGGGCTGCCGGCGTGTGGAGAGACAGTCAACATGTGCACCAACTATCCCGCACTATCGCATTGAGGGACTACCAAACAGTGACAGCGAGAGGAGAAAACAGTCGACAGGAGCTTGCTCAATCGAGCACGCATTGAGGTGGCGTAAACATTCTCACTTGGTGACGGCATAGTGAAGGCCGATGGGTTTTGGAGGTGGAGGATTTTGGGGCGGTGGGATGGGGGCAAGGATTTTCTAAGTTTATATGTAGGGGATAAAATGATATTATTACCCTCTTGACTGTTTTTTAAATTTACCATTCTGTCCTTCAGTTAAAATTAACAGACAATGGGTGGGAAAGAGTTGTTTCGTCAAACCTTGGGTGGGAAAAAATGTCGTTCTGCCTTCTGACAAATTCTCATCTTTCCCTGAAGATGAGAATCAGAATATATAAAAATAAAGTGGCATGTTTTACATAACATAGATATAAGGCGGCAATGAAGCTTTCGCTACCCAACAAAATAAAAGAGAAAAGAAACGGACTTAAACTAGCATCAACAATGTCCATAACAACTCAAATCTTCTACATTTTAAATTTATGTTTACTTCTTAAACATCAAACATTTATAATAAAATTATAACGACCTTTACTCCCACCAAATTCAACAAAAGTTGATTAAATTAAAGATTACAGAGTGATTTTGCAGCAAGACTAGAGATATTTGAGAACCCTATTATGATTAAACCTCGGGATACAGTTTGTTATCCCACCATGTTCGATGAAGGCACTTGCCAATTGTTTCAGGGTACAATAACAAAAAGAGGCTGCAGTGGAAAAATACAAGAGAAAAGTTTTAAACGTTTAGATATGAAAGAGAGACGGAGAAAAGGGGAAAGAGGGAGAGAGAGAGAGTAATACCGTGTCTACGCTGACTGGTTTTCCATCGTCTGCTAATACCTCAGCTACAGTCCCAGATTGATCAGCCTGAGAAACAATAACGATAATTTCAAATGAGTATTAATGATTTATATTACATCAAGTCGCCTAAGCAAACATCTTTGCATTATGTAAAAGAATACTAGAGAAGCAAGGTCTAATCTTTGGCCAAACATGAACTCAACAAAACAAGAGAAATTAAGAGATAGCATTTCAATATTTTCCTAACTTTGATAATAGCCAATATGTGACAAACATTTGATGGCGTGATTGGGAGAGAGATTTGGCAAATTTCTGGGATAGAATGAAACACAATGTGGGATATGGCAATGGAAAAGAAGTAATCCGCACATCGAAATAGAAATATAAAAAAAAATTAAAAATTAGGAGGAAAAAGTAGTACGACATGAAGGGAGAGGAAAAGAGAATATACCTCAATTTCATTCATCAATTTCATGGCCTCAATGATGCAAATGACTTGACCTTTCTGCACCTTATCTCCAACCTGGAGATTAAAAATAAGTATTACAGGGGGCGAAAAGAATCATTTCATTCAGAAATTATTGACGAAAGATAATTTATACTTAATGACCGAATTAAGATCCACTCTGATTTTGCATATTAACTCTTATAGGGTAGGCTTACTAACACAAGACCTTACCTTAATAAATGGTGGTTCACCAGGTGCCGGGCTTCGATAAAAGGTACCAGCCATGGGGCATTTCAGTGGTGGGTGAGATGATTGGGCTGGCTTTGGTGGTGCAGGTAAAGCAGGTGCTGGTGCAGAAGCAGCAGGGCTTGCAGCAGCAGCAGGAGGGGAAGCAGGGGCTGCAGGTGGAGGCTGCGCATACATTAAATGGGGCATAGCAGGTGGCATTGAGACAACAGGTGCTGGTTGCTGCAAAGCTTCTTTTTTCCTGATTATCAGCTCACAGTCGGATTGCTTCATTTGAAGCTCCATAATATCTCTTGAATCCACAAGCCTGATCATGGAAGACAATATCAACTCCAATGAACTGATATATATTTTGCATAAACTAATAAACATGGATGACGCCTAGAAATTAAGACTCTTCAACTTACTTGACGAGGTCTGATACTTGAGTAATGAATGCTGCAATTGCTGATGCATCAGGAATTTTTTTTTCCGCAGATTCGACTTTTCCTTCCGATGATGGAACTTCAGACTTGGGCTTGTCATTTACTGGAGCACAGTTTGAAGGCTTCTCGGCAATAACCTTAGAATTAATAGTTACGTTTAGCATATGCTGACAATGTTTTCTATTCAAATCCTACAAATTTTCAACTTCCAGAAAACAACTCACCTCATTAAGCTTGGCATGTGCTGTCCAGAGAGCAGACTGCTTCCTGCTAGAGCTCTACAAAAATCAAACAATTTGATGAACAATCAGAGATGCAGGTGATTTGCCATGACAATAGTCTATACAGAGTACAAAGAGCATACTTAATAGAAAAGAGCAAGAAATATGTATATTGAAATCTTTTCACCCACCAAAAATCTGAACCCGTAGATAACAGACTATATGAGATTCAAACACTAGGTGAGAACAAAAATCAGTGGTAACAGCACTTTTGCTAGCCTTACTTAGAATCATCAAAAATCATTTTAATCCAAAACTGTCCCCTACATAGATATATATAGAGTACTTATAACTGCAGATGCATCATACCCAGATTGAGATCAGCTCACAACACCAGATATTCAAACTCTATGTATATTGTCCATATGAAAAACCAGATTTGAACCATGAAAACTTCCAAAATTTTCAATATTGTAATCTCTCGTTATAGAGGCATGATACATAAATAGTGACACAATTTTTTAAACACTAATTGATCAAACCAATACACCTTTTTTTGAACTGTAGAGATTATATGCTATACTATATATATCAAATAAAGATTATTTTTGTCTAGCCTTAATATATTATTTCTTTGCAAAGAGTAACAAAAATGTCAACACAATGCCATAATAACATGAAAGACTTTTAGCTAAACTTTCCACAACTAGCAAACCCAGAGAGGCAATTCACAATATTTTACTAAAAAACTAAAAAACCCTCAAAATAAAATAATTTTTTACAATAATTGAAACGAAAAACAAACCGAGAAAGACAAATCAAACTCCTGCATTACCTGAAGCCCAGAAAAAGCAGAAGAAGCAAATGACAATGAAGGGTTGGACTTGGAAGCATTGTGAAATGAAACAACTTTCAATTGCTTTTGGCTTTGTTGTTGTGATCCAGTGGCACCAGCAACAGAGATCTTAGGACAAGGAACAGAGATGGAAGCCATTGAATAAAGTGTGTGTTTTTTAGGACCCAAAAAGGAATGAAAACAGATCCAGAAAAACACAAACACAGAAAATGTCTCTACTTTATACTTTGGTTTGTGTAGTTGTGAAGGGGTTGGAGTTGGAGATATGTAGAGGAGGAGATTGAGAAATGTGGCGATGAGAACAAAGAAAAAAATAAAATAAATGAAAATTTAAAAAAAAAAAAATGAAAGAGTATTAAGAGAGTTTCGATATTTCCAATGAAAGGGGCGAAGACAACATGGGAATAGTGTTTTTAACTAACTTCAACAACAATAACACATATGGGGGTTTGGGTTTTTATTAATAAAACAACACAGACTAAATGAAAGTGAAAGATAAAATGAGACGGCGTTGTCGGGTTTGTGCCAGGTGTGCTTCTGATAGTCTAGGTTAGATCAGAGATCTGCACAAAGATGGCTGCCACCACTACAACTCAGCTCATCTAAAGACAATTGGGTTGCTTTGTTGTAATCGGATCCCACTAGAGAAAATAGAAATTGGAGCTTTTTTTTCATTTATTTAATAAATACGTAATTTATATGAAGCATGAGGCAACTAATAATATTTTGATATTTACGTATTTACACGTGATATATAATATTTTTAAAGTTTGGGATAGGAACCAAGAATTTCAACCAGAAAATGAGCTTTAAATGTTCCTATTTCTTCATGCTTTGGTGATAGAAAGTCAAATCAATCGATAGAAAAGAAAGACAGGAAGCACACATCAACAAAAAGGGCGTTGATGAAATTGCCGCATCTAGTTGAGTTGGTTCAACCACCTTTATAAAGATAGAATATTGGCCTTAATTTGAGCAACTATAAACTATAAAGATCAAATGAAACCCAGCAGAGAAAAATTACAGGGGCATAACGTATCGTGGATCCAATCAACTGAATCACAATAGTTACCGATGGTTAATTTGTAGAAACAATGTTATTTTACCGGAGGATAACCACTGTCTCAACCATAATTAGATTATAGTCCAGTCAACTTTTGCGTAACTTTACCCCAAACTATAAATGGAACCTAACTTGGAAGCCAGTTGTTGGGGAATAAATGCACGCAACACTAAGATCAATGGCTGCTGAGCAAAGAAGGTTGAGATGCAGCTCAAAGTATCAACAAAAAGGTGTATTATTTTGCACATTACAGCTCAAAGCAATGAAATTTTTCCCTTGAAAATCAGAGAGCCTCTTGTAGACAGCTTACTTATTTCTGAACAATTATAAAGTTACAGAAGCAAGTGCCTAAGAAAAAAATTAATTAAAAAAGCCAGCCCTGAAGCCTCTCCAAGGACATTGATTGTGTAAAAATGCAACAATAAAAAATGTTTGCAACCGGCCAAGAAGGTAAAGCTGCAGTAAATAAAAGTAGAAAGATAATCTAGTATCGGTTCCAGTAGGTTCTGCGTCTGAACCAGTTGTAGTCGGGCAAACCCTGGATGGGTCCCATTGCGGCGATTGCAATATCCTGCAAAAAACGCAAAGTTAACAACCCCACTTTGACAAGCAAATTTTCATCTCAAAAGAATACTATTCAATGGTTAAATCTTTTTTCTTCATTATAGCATGTGATAAGAGGATAGGTGAGAAAATAGTTCCTACCCTATCATAAATAAATCTGTTGGCTGCGCGTTTGATTGTGCTTGCATCAACAGCATCAATTCTAGCAAACAATTCAGCAAACGGGATTCTACGACCATATGTAAGTAGCTGCAAGCACACGGAGACCAAGTTGAATCAGAAGATAGATAATGACACAACATCATGACAAGTTCCTTTTAATTGCTTAGTGGTTTTGATAGTTGCTGAAACAGCTCATGCAACCAAGTAAAAAGAGAGCCATCACAGCTTGGTAAATCTAACTAGGAAGAGAGCAAATAATCCACAAGCTCTTCGGACTTGTTTCTTCATATATTGCCTCAAGATGAATAAGAAAAAAAATACCTGACGTCCAATATCTTCAGCTACAGGGCTTGTTCCATCGATGTGAAGCAACAAGGATGACTTCAACTGCAGAGAACATACCAGTAAGAGCCATGAATGAGCATAAAAAAATAGATAAAATCACTCGTAGGAGAAGCAGAGAATAAGGTTACATCACATATGAAGTATGCACATTATACAAATTTTACAAATACAAACATGCATCTGCTAGGAGAAAGAAAATTAGAAAGGATAACACGTATGATAGTCCAATGACAGATAATCCCTAACTTAGACAAAGAAGATTATGCCTAATAGACCATAAATTTAACTTCAATTATCATTTGAACTTGAGGCTTCTCTAAATTTGAGAACATCGAAGCCCAAGTTTTAGTTGAAATCTAAAATCCAAAGATGCAAAATATCAAACACTACCTGATTACGTGCACGAGTGACATCAGCTTCTGAAACTCGGTAAGCTAACTTGGTTGTCTCATACATTATTGCATAGGCTAAATCGTCCAAGCAATCCGGCTGGAAACAAACCAAAAAGAAATTAAACTCAATCAAAATGTGATAGGAAGAATATTGTCTAAGAGATCTAATTTATATAAAAAGTCAGAACTGTAGGAACATAAATGATTGTAAAGGCAGATGTGAACCTGCCAATTAATTAAAAGACAAGTATTGACAAAATTGCTCCACAGAATCATTGAGAATCTTAAACCATTGATCAATAAGATTTCAGACAAAATGGTTTGCTTTGTGTATGCTACATATAAATTTGCAATGAGAATGTGTAAATGTTTCATTCATACGGAAGTAGGTAATACTAATCACACTTAATATTTTAATTCCCACATAAATTTCTTTTCCACAACAAAAAAATAAAATAAAATAAAAATAAAAAGAAAAATAAAAATAAATAAAAAGAAAAATAAAAGAAAAAAAAAGGGAGAGAAAAAGAAAAGTACAGTCACAAATATGTGAGTAACACTAATATAATGCCAAAAATAGTTTATATTGTTATCTCAATGGCTAACAAAATTCAGAAAAACTTGTGTACAAAATCTGCAAGTCAATAACAAATAAATGTTCAGATTTGTTTCAATTTCAAATTGTTATGCAAAGGGAAAAAAGAAAATTGAGTCAACACTTGAGCATAGACACTTTAAAAGAAGAAAATTTTCAAGAAAGTGACCTCACCTTAGCAACTGCATAGACACCAAATAGACCGGTGTCTTTATAGTTGGTGTTAAAGGCCATCATACTTTCCGCAATTTCATTAATGCCGACTCTTTGTGCCAGCTCAGAGCTGTCAAAAAATTGTCAGAAGTTATCAAAACAAGAATACGCTAAAAGGAGACATTGAAGCATACAAATTTAAAATCAGAATACTCATACATTACATGCAACAGTAAAAAACTCACCCCATGTGCTTTCCGCCTACTGAACTTTTATTCCATGAACCCAGCATAGCCTGCATTACCATCAAGGCAATGGAATCTGGGTCTGTCCAAGATGCTCCAGCAAATGCAACAGCAAATTGTGCCAGAGGAATATCATCGTCAATTATTCTAACCTGATTTCCCCCACCAATATTCAAAAGGAGCATTTTAGAGATGAACATTTACTACATAAATGACAGTATTTCAAGCTATAACTCCCACCTCAGAACCAGTAAAAATTGCTGGTTCTTTTGCAACTAGTTGAGAAGCAGTAGTTGGCTCAGATGATAACTTTGTGAAAAATTTCTTCACTTGCTCCACAATATCCTCATGCTTAACAGCTCCAGAGGCAGCAATCACCTAAAATGAAGTTCAAGATTAAAGAGAATATAACATAACATTAAAATAATTTCTGTAGACCAAACTATAAACATAAAAATAACAAAGCTTCATCAGTTGTCTCAGCACCATTCTGGGAGCAGTGTAGTGTGTTTGAATATAGCTCTGAAGATGCTCCTTGGTAATTGCCTTGATGTTCTGAGCAGGTCCAAGAATAGTTCTACCTAAAGGAGTGTACTGGAATGCAGTTGCATGCAAATGGTCAAAAATAACTTCCTCGGTTTGCCCCTCAACCTGCAGCAATTAAATAATTGAATGATTTACCACATGAGAAAAAAAAAAAAAAAAAAAAAAAAAAAAACTTCTGGGAAAGCACTACATAAAATATTTTCGCGTAACATACAAAATAACGCACTATTGATTACATATAAGACAAAACGACAACAAACATTATACGCCATGTAACAAAAATACTATTATTGGCAAGATCAACAACCACCATTTATCCACTAAAAACCAAATGAAATGGCAACATCCAAGTTTTCATCCATCTCAATATGAATCAATTAAACCAAGCAAACACTTAGGTACATTTTAAAAACCATACAACTCACAAAATTACAATGATTTATACATATAAAGGAGAGCTGCATATAATTTATATACACTCCAAAAGCATTCAGAGACCCCACATTTAAAATTAGCAACAATTATTAATACCACCCAGGCAGATTAACACTAAATTCTCACACTATCAATGAAAACCTTTAAAAATAAAAAAAAACGTGTTCCAAAAGCCAAATCAATTAGGGAAACTCTCACTTTAGCATGAACACACCATACTCACCAAAAATTGAATCCCAACAACAACAGCAAGTAGTAAACATTAGCATGAACACCATGCGAATGTTAAAACACATAAACTATGAACTAAACCAAGAACTGAAACAGTATTCATACTTTACAATAACAATTGTCATATGTAAATTGTCCTATATTATTATAAAATCAACAAAATTAATTAAATACACTGACCCATGATTTCAGTTAAATTAGATCAGTTGATCAAAAGTTGGGATGACAGCAAACATAAACATGAGCAACAGCTCTTCATGAGACTATTAAAACATATATTCTATCAACTCCAGTACAACAACACATGTCAAAACACCATAAATTCTTATATCACCAAACAAAACCAATCAAGCAACTACATTGACCTCCTCCCTATCTCCAAAAATTAAATCTTTAGCAAAGTACGACTGTTGAAACTCAAAAAGTATCAACTAGACCAAAAATTTATACATTATGAACACTCTAGTCAACAAAATCATCCTAAATTCTAATAATATCAACAAAACCAATCAAATTAAATCCACTAACCTCCTCCATTTCTCTCAAAATCACATCACTCTCCCGAGAAATTCGTGGCTGCTCAAACTTCGAATTCTGCAAAATATCAGCTAAAATATCCAACGCCCTGTTCACATCCTTATCCAAAACCTTGGCATAATAAGTCGTCTGTTCCCTACTCGTATAAGCATTCAAATGCCCCCCCATGTTCTCGATCTCCTCCTCCAAACCCCTAGCGGTCCTCCTCTCCGTCCCTTTAAATATCATGTGCTCCAGGAAATGCGCTGTGCCGTTAGTCTCGTCCGTCTCAAACCTCGACCCAGCATCGATCCAAACCCCAACGGTCGCCGTCTTAACGGCAAGGTTCGACTCGGTGGCAACCCGAAGTCCGTTGGGTAAAGTCGTGATCTTTGTCTCGGGAGACGAGAGGATGTGCGTGTGAGAGGTCAAAGTCGGGTGCGGGGATCCATATTTGAGGAAACGCACGTCGGGGTTCTCTAGCTGCTTGAGTTTGGACTTCACGGATTCGGCAAGACGGTCGTAGATCATGGCGGAGGGGGGCGGCGGGGAGGGAGGGGCGGAGGAGGGGGAGTGAGCGAGAGGGGCGGCGGAGGAGGAGGATCGGACGGTGGTGAGGACAGTAGAGGAAGTGGGCCGGTGAGAGCGACGAGCTAGGGTTAGGAGGTGCTTAAAGGCCGGGGGGGGGGGGGGGAGGGAGCGAGAGGGGCGGCGGAGGAGGAGGATCGGACGGTGGTGAGGACAGTAGAGGAAGTGGGCCGGTGAGAGCGACGAGCTAGGGTTAGGAGGTGCTTAAAGGCCATCGTTTTGGCTCTGGTTTACGGGCTGATTTTTTGGGGGTTTCACTCTCTGAAATTATAGGGTTTGGTGAGTGAAAGAGTGATGGGTGGATGGGCGAGCAAGTGGAAGAGAAGAAGGGAGAAATAATAAAAGAGTTGAAAATAATTATTTTGTCGGGCAAACGGCACCGTTTCTTATGTTCTTCGTTCAGCTAAATTTGAGTAATTTATAATAGTAAAATAAAGATGGGTTATACCATGGTAATTATTTTCTGAAACTACAATCTTGTAAATATTTGATTTTAATTTTTTAATTGGTAATTTATTATCGATCAAGCTTAAATTGAAAAGTTTAATTGTCGATTTTTAAATATTTTTCATTAAAACTTTTCATCAAAATAATACAAATATTTTTTATTAGACTGATTGGATATCAATTGGGATTCTAATAACTAAGTCATAAGTCATGCTCTTCTATTAAAACTCAAAAGCCTTTCAGTTTTTCATTGGTGGATTAATAAATGATAAATTATAAAGATAATAATTTTTTTAAAAAAAAAAAAAGGAAACATGCACAAACCAAAGTAGGAAACTAACAGTCGCAGACTTCTCTCAAACTCCAAACTCATCAAATTTTGTAATTGATATATAGGGAGAACTTACACATACCCAAGGTTTATCGAAACGATAAGTTGTTACCCAAAAGGTTTTGAAACGATAAATAGGTACCTTCCATCATGTTCTGTTAATGATTTTCGTTTGATAATAGTGAAAAGACTAAAATACCCTTGAAAGTTTAATATTTTAGTTTTTTATAAATTTAAAAATTTCTAAAAAACCCCCTAGGTTTGCTAATTTGACTAAATAGCCCAATATATAAAATTTTTATAAAATAACAAAAACACCCCTGCACCCGCAGTGCCATATTCCAGCCACCACCGTCGGAATCTAGCCAGAAAATTGTGTTACGACACAGACCTCTCGGATCTGTGTCGTAACGCATCGATCTGGCCGAAAAACGCCAGATCTATGTCTGGCCTTTTTCAGCCTCGATGGTTAGATCTGGCCTTTTCCGACCAGATCCTCCACTGATCTGGGCGGAAAATGCCAGATCAACATGTTACGACACAGATCCGAAGGGTCTGTGTTGTAACACAATTTTTCGGCAAGATTCTGACCTCGACGACGACATCTGGCCGTAGATCTGGCATTTTCCGACTAGATCAGCCACGGATCTTGCTGGAAAATGCCATATCTACGCGTTACGACACAGATCCGATGGGTCTGTGTCGTAACGTAATTTTTCCGGCCAGATTCCGACGGTGGTGGCCAAAATCTGGCACTGCAGGTGGCGGGGTGTTTTTGTTATTTTATAAAATTTTTATATATTGGGGTATTTAGTCAAATTAGCAAACCTAGGGGGTTTTTTAGAAATTTTTAAATTTATAAAAAAATTAAAATATAAAACTTTCAAGGGCATTTTAGTCTTTTCACTATTATCAAACAAAAATCACTAACAGAACATGACGGAAGGTACCTATTTATTGTTTTAAAACCTTTTAAGTACCAACTTGTCGTTTTGGCAAACCTTGGGTATGCGTAAGTCGTTCGGCCTTGATATATAACACAAATTCTTAACTGAAAACCAAAATAGGAAACTCAACTCAACTCAAATTTAAACTTGTTTTAGTCTATTTAAACTCCACTCCACCCTCACTCACTCTCTCTCACCTTCCAGCCTTCGATTTTTATTTTCTTGATCATAGAATAACCTTCTTCTTCTTCAAAAATCCAACACCAAATTTTATGATTCAAACATCATCTTCTTTTCATCCAGAAAATCCAACATCAAATATGTTTCATACATCATCGATGGAACACCAACACCAACACCAACACCCTATTTTTGTTCCTCCCTCCCAAATCTCCTCTCACTTTATCGCTGCCATGCAAAACAGTTTTTACAGTCTTCCCGGCGTCAAGTTTCGCCCAACTGATCATCAGTTAATTTCTCATTATTTGGTCAACAAAATTTTTGGTTTACCATTTTCCCATCATCCTATCATAGATTGTGATCTTTATGGTATAAGGGAACCTACATAAATCACGTTTATCCGTGATTTCCTCTCTGTCAATACCTTTGTATAGCAACTCTATATTCTTTGATTGTATATTCCTTAAATAGTTGTAGCTCTGTTTATGGTTGTACATTCCTTAATTAGCCGTAGTCTTGTAACATATTAAGACTCGTTGTAATGCAACGTATTATTCTGAATTTTACCAAAGCACTTGCGTAATCTCTATATGGTATCAGAGCGTTCTTCTCCCACGAGATCAGAAACCTCTTCCAAATCCATGTTGTCTAGTGTTAACTCTCCTCCCCCAGAGCCCACTGGCTCCAACTCTGTGTCTACACTTCCTCTCGTTACGATCAACACTTCCAGCCAATTGCCCTACAAACTCACTTCCTCAAATTATCCTTCCTGGCGTGCAACTTTCCTCACCATTCTCATTGGATATGATCTAATAACGGCACCCTTAGGTGTCCTCCTCCACCTACTGCGGATTCTTTTACCTCTGCTGTGGCACTCTATGCGCACTGGTACCGATAGGATCAGTTATTGCTGAATGCCATTTTTGCTTCAGTTTCTGAAGCAGTTATGCCCCTTATTGCTATGGCAACTACAAGCCATGATGCCCGGCAGGAGCTCGCCCGCTTGTTTGCTAGCAAATCTCGGGCCCGGATCATGCAGTTGAAGGAAGATCTTACTCTTATTCAAAGGGGTTCCCGCACGGTGTCTGAGTTCCTTCATGCAGTTAAGGTAATTGCTGATGAACTTTCGTTGATTGATGCACCTGTTTCAGATGATGATTTGACGTTATATGTGCTTAATGGCCTTGGCTCTGAGTTTCGAGATATGGTGGCTCCCATCCATACGAGAGAAACTGCCTTGTCTTTTGCAGAGTTGCATGATCTGTTACTCAGTCATGAACACTATCTCAAACGCATGGATGAAAATTCATCGACCCTGGTTGTCACTGCAAATTCCTCCCAATGGAAGCCATCAAATCCTCGGTTCAAAAACAACAAGAATCGTCCCAAACAAAATTTCTCCAACAAAGCTCCTTCAAAGAAGTCCTTTGTTGTGTGCCAAATCTGTGATCACCCCAGTCACACTGCAAAGAATTGTGTCAAACTGCAGTCTCGACCTGCTGCCAACTGCACTACTTCTACAACTCCATCGAATGGGAACTGGCTTCTTGATTCCGCTGCTTCTCATAACATTACGTCTGATTTGGCTAATCTCTCTATTCATTCAGAATATGATGGACAAGATGAGGTTGTTCTTAGAGATGGTACAGGTTTGCAAGTTGCTAACATCGGTTCCACTACCATTTCATCCCCTTCTTATTCTCTTACTTTAAAAGGAACTCTGCATGTGCCTCTTATTCACAAAAATTTAATCTCTGTTCACAAGTTTACTCATGATAACAATGTTATTGTTGAATTTCACCCCTCCTTTTACCTTGTGAAGGATCGGATGACGGGAGCGGTGCTCATGCGCGGTAGATGCGAAGGTGGTGTTTATCCTATGGAATTATGTCGGTCCTCACCTCAAGCTCATGCTGTCACTTTGACTGGAACCCGTACTTCAGTTGATCGTTGGCATCATCGGCTGGGTCACCCTGCTCCAAAGCTTTTATCATTTCTTCTCCGTAGCTATAACTTGCCTGTGTCCTCCTCTAAGTCCTTATTGTCCTGTATTTCATGTCATTGTAATAAGTCGCATCGATTGCCTTTTAGTGTCACTTCCCTTACAAGCCATGTTCCTCTTGAATATTTATATGCCGATGTTTGGGGACCATCCCCGGTTCCTTCTGTTGATGGCTACCGCTATTATGTACTTCTTGTTGGTCATTTCATACAGTACTGTTGGTTTTATCCTATGCGTAATAAGTCGGATGTGCCTTCTATTTTTGAACAATTTATTGCCATGGTTGAAAACCAATTCGCCGAAAAAATTGAAAATTTTTATTCCGACAACGGTGGTGAATTTATCAAACTCAGACCACTTCTGGCTGCTCGTGGCATTAGCCATTTCATCACAGCCCTGCATACTCCCCAGCAAAATGGCACTGTCGAACGTCTCATTGAAATGGGAATGACCCTTTTACATCATGCCTCGGCTCCTTCCACTTATTGGTCATATGCCTTGGCCACAACAGTTTACCTTATTAATCGTCTTCCTGCTCAATTACACTCACGTCAAAGTCCCTTTAAAGTGTTATTTGGATGGGTTCCCGACTATCATAAGTTGTGCACCTTTGGCTATCAATGCTACCCTTGGCTTGTTCCCTATCGTGCAAATAAATTTCAACCCAAGTCCCAACCTTGTGTTTTTCTCGGTTACTCCCTGTCTCAACATGCTTTTCAATGTCTGGACCTTCACACGGGTAAGATTTATCTCTCTCGTCATGTCACTTTTGATGAAAACATTTTTCCCTTCACAAAAGCGACTACCTCTGTTCCTACAACAGTTGCTACACCATGTCCTTCTTCTTCCAATCCCACTCATGTTCCCCTGGTTTGCATGGTTCCATTGGATGATCACCCTGTTACACCTACAGCGCCTGATGACACGGCAACCNCCTTGGCCACAGCAATTTACCTTATTAATCGTCTTCCTACTCAATTACACTCACGTCAAAGTCCCTTTGAAGTGTTATTTGGACGAGTTCCCGACTATCATAAGTTGCGCACCTTTGGCTGTCAATGCTACCCTTGGCTTGTTCCCTATCGTGCAAATAAATTTCAACCCAAGTCCCAACCTTGTGTTTTTCTCGGTTACTCCTTGTCTCAACATGCTTTTCAATGTCTGGACCTTCACACGGGTAAGATTTATCTCTCTCGTCATGTCACTTTTGATGAAAACATTTTTCCCTTCACAAAAGCGACTACCTTTGTTCCTACAACAGTTGCTACACCGTGTCCTCCTTCTTCCAATCCCACTCATGTTCCCCCGGTTTGCATGGTTCCATTGGATGATCACCCTGTTACACCTACGGTGCCTGATGACACGGCAACCGTGACTTCATCTCCTACACCAGGTATGGTCTCATCTTCTACTACTAGTAATCCACCCTCCTCGGAGTCGCCTCTGCCCATAGCACCTGCACCTCCTACTCGCACTCATCCCATGGTCACTCGAGCTCAGAATAATATTTTCTATCCCAAGCAGCTCTTGGTTGCTACCAAGCATCCTCTTGCACCACCGTTGGAACCAACTTGTGTCTCTCAGGCTCTCAAGGACCCCAAGTGGCGTAAAGCCATGGCAGATGAATTTACTGCATTAGTCTCACATGGTACTTGGAAACTAGTTCCTAAGCCTTTAGCTTCCAATTTAATTGGTTGTAAATGGGTGTTTCGGATTAAGCGTCATCCAGATGGTACAGTGGATCAGTTTAAGGCACGTCTTGTAGCAAAGGGGTTCAATCAACGCCCAGGTGTCGATTATGCTGAGACTTTCAACCCTGTTATAAAACCAACCACCATTCGGCTCATTCTCTCACTGGCTCTGTCAAACAATTGGCCCCTCAAGCAAATCGACGTCAATAACGCGTTTCTCGATGGCCAGTTAACTGAGCAAGTATTTATGCAGCAACCTGCAGGCTTCATCGATCAGTCCCACCCTCATCATGTTTGTTCTCTCCAGAAATCCATTTATGGTCTCAAGCAGGCGCTAGAGCCTGGTACAATGCATTGCGCTCCGGCCTTCTTGAGTTGGGTTTTTGTAATTCCAAGTCTGACAGCTCCTTATTTATCTTCAATCAGGATGGAGTTTTACTATATGTGCTAGTGTACGTTGATGATTTAATCCTCACCGGTAATAATAGCCAGTTCTTGCAGCATGTTGTCAAATCTTTAGGTGAAAAATTTTCTCTAAAGGAACTCAGTGATCTGCATTATTTTCTCGGGGTGGAAGTTATTCCAGTTCAGCAAGGTCTGTTTCTTTCTCAGAACCGTTACATTCATGATCTCCTTACCAGGTTGAAGATGGCTGGTGCTAAGGAAGTTCAAACCCCCATGTCTGTGACTGCTAAGCTCATGCTTGATGATGGTTCTGCTAACTGTGATGCTACTGAATATAGACGCACAATTGGCTCCCTTCAGTACCTCTCGCTCACTCGCCCAGACCTCGGTTTTGCAGTCAATCAACTTGCTCAGTTCATGCACAAACCAACGGTCACACACTGGCAACATGTTAAACGGCTCCTGCGCTATGTCAAGCAGACCATTCACTTTGGTCTCCTACTACGTCGACAATCAAACCCAGTGCTTAGGGGCTTCTCCGATGCTGACTGGGGTGGTGATCTTCATGATCGTAAGTCTACCACGGCTTATATAATTTTTCTGGGCAATAATCCCATTAGCTGGCGCACTAGGAAGCAGAAGGTCGTGGCTCGCTCCTCTACGGAAGCAGAGTATCGTGCATTGGCCACTGCAGCTTCAGATATAGCTTGGATAAAATCTCTTCTTGATGAACTTGGGCTTATGTTACGTGAACCACCGCTACTTCTCTGTGATAACATTGGCGCAACCCAGCTTAGTCTCAACCCTGTCATGCATTCCAGGATGAAACATATTGCTATCGATCTTCACTTTGTTCGTGACTTTGTTAGTCGTGGGAAATTGCGTGTTGCCCNTTTGAAATACCCTTTGGGTTTTTCATTTGACTTGGAATTGTTTAAACTTTAAACCAATGCAGCATTGACATCTCTGAAGGTGTTTGAAGCTAAGTATGATAAAAAAGTAAATGAATTGAGTCAGGAAACCATAAAATAATGTAGTGGGGGAGCATAGAAGCCTATAGATTCTCGATAATTCTGCTACTATAAAGTATTCTTCTCTGTACTTGTTGTGAGAGAGAGAGAGAGAGAGAGAGAGGGTTTTTGTTGAATATAAAAATGAGCTTCAGGACAGGACATCCACACAATTTAACTTTCTTTTTTCAACAGTTTATGGACTTCACTTGGTTGGATTAAGACCCTGAAAATGCTTCAAAGCATCATTGTTAGTATCCTACGATACTCGATATGTATCATATAATACGATTTGATACAGATCACCAATGATACGTATTAGAGTGTTTATCCTAAACCATTCGATACGTTGATATGTATCCTACGATACGATACGTATCCATTCATATGCTTAAAAATATCGATTTAAATCGATACGACTTTATTAATTTGGGCAAAATGTCCAAAAAAAATTCGGGTCGAAACCGGGTCACCCAACCCGATTCACTAAAACCTGTCCACATTTACCTATTTTGCATGAAGAAAGTGAAGAGGAATATTTATTGCCCATTTTACATGATAATAATAATATAAGTGGAGATATAGATATTGACATTGATCTTGGAATTTTGTGATTAATTTTGATAATATAATACTGTAATTTAAAGTAAATAATACCACAAAATTTTTTAATTAATCTTGGAGATTATATTAATTTTTAGAAAATTTTGATTATTTTATTAATTTTTTTGAAAAAGGCGTATCTTATGATACGATACGATACGCGATTCAAAAAATTAGGTTTTCGATATACGATACGATATACCATTTGATAACCATGCTTGAAAGTAACACATGGATCCATTTGCAGAGGGACAAAATATCTCTGTCAAGTCAACTTAGATATCTCATAATGTTGATAACTGTCTCATTATCATTGGGCCGTGCATTCCACGCTTTGAATTTGTGACTTCTTCAACATGAAAAAAATATTGCAAATGGAGTGAGGAGAAGATTCTAAAACTAATATTAAAATTTTGCAATTTTTGTAATGCTCAGCATTTATCTATACTCTGTTTCCATGTTGCATGGTTTTAGTCACCAAGGAATATGTATCTTATCTATTGTAACATAGAAAGAAAAAGGTTTAAGCAACAGAACACTTCTAATATTAATAAAAATTAAAACATAAGATAAATTTTGACAATGAGACTGAAGTGGACTTGAGTGCAATTTTTTTTTTGATGAAAACCTCAAGATGTCCCCACACATAAAAGTATGAGACTAATTCTCGATCAAAGCTCGGGTAAATACCTCTAGTCACAAGCTGTTTTTAGTGAGATTTGAATAGTTGGCCCACCAGAAGTCTAGTTACAAGCTAAATCACAGCTCATGGTTTTTTGGTGCAAGTGTTAACTAAAGCTAGAAGTGGGTTTGGCCACCAAACTTGAAAGAGAAAGAAATCACAGAAAACAGAGGCCTGTAAATGGGTGACATGAACAGAAATGAAAGATGACATAAGGGTTGATGCGTGTAAAAATGACAGTAAAAAGATTAATGATTCCAGTTGAAGATAATTGGAAGAACGATGATAAATGTGTGTAGTGGTTTGGACATGAAAAAGATGGGAACCAACCAGTTAATCTAGAAGAAATTTAATTTAGTTAAATATATGTCATGGAATGAGGCCACGATGCCATCCAAGCCTTAAAGAAAATAAACTTAAAAATCCAGGGCATGATAGTGGCATTGGTGCCAATAAGGTGGCATCTTCTGTGAAACTCCATTTTTAAACAATGATTTCTCTGCGCTAATCATTCATTAACATTAAGTTTCGTGAGCAGCAAACAGAGTAAAGTATCCACAGCCGTTACCCACTGAACCAAATGATTTGTCAAGGACTAAGTAGTAGATGATAATGAAGGTGATTAGTGGGATGTAATCCATTTTCTATTTCACAAGTTCATTTCATTCGCAAAATATCTTTGTTTTATTGTGGGGATTTCAACTTTGAATAATGATGGCTAAAAGGTATACTTTTTGGAAGTGGGGTAGAGAAGGAGATTGAAAAAACAAAAACAAAAAATAAAAAACCTGAATGGCTGTAAAAGGAAATGCCCACTAACANTAAAGATTCAGTTCTAATTTACTCTACTCATTTGATTAATATTTTTAACGAAAGTTTTTTGTTTCTTTGTTTACATTTTGCTATATAATATATTATTTGTTTTTAATTTTTAGTTTATCGATGATATAAATTATATTAAGTACAAGATACATCTGCATCATTCACTCTGGATAATGTATTTTGAAGCCCTTGCTTTCAGAAGTATAGTTGGAAACTAGAACTAGTTAATTAATGGACATTGTTTCAAAGTAAATAATGCAGTTCAAGAAAACGATGAAATAACACTTGTGTCCGTCCAAGCACAAATGTAATGTAACATTTTTTATTTTATTTTATAAATATCTCAATCTTTAATTTATGTTAGGGTAAAATTACTATAAAATTAAAAAAAATGAAGAAGGGAATAATGGGATTATCAGAAAAGTGGGCCTTTTGAAAACCCTTTTAAGTTCCTCACGGAAAAGCCCAAGTTTTCAAATGGCCCAGGTCAAACCATAACAAAACGCAAGAAACCCTAAAGTCGCTACTATATATTAACACTGATACACAGAAGCAGAAACCCTAGAGAGGAGTAAGAGAGAGACAGCGAGGCTAACTCAGTCAGTACCCAACCCCATCTGCGCTTAACTAGCTCTCCTGCTCTGCTTTGTCGCTTCAGCCATGGCCACTGCTAAAACTGTCAAGGACGTCTCTCCTCATGAGTTTGTTAAGGCTTACTCTGCCCATCTCAAGCGATCTGGCAAGGTAATTACATTTTTCTGTACGGATATAAGTGTAGTGGATGAAACCCAGATTTAATTTTTGAAATAAACATCTGGGTCGTTTTCAGATTTTGTTGTTGTGGTATGTTTTTATTCGGGGACTGAAATTGGGGGCTTAATGTTATCAGGGTTTAGTTTACAGGATAGCTTATTGGATTCTTAGATGAAAAGACGGAAAATGTTAGCTTCGTGTGATTTGATTTTATGTGTTTTGTGGTTAATCTGTTTACATTTGATTGTGTTGATACGTTTTTTTATGATTTTCATTGGTTTTTATGTGGTTTTGGAGTTTGCTAATGAGATCAGTTGGGTGACTGTTAATTGTTAATTTGTTTGTTATTTAATTCTTAAAAATGAAAATTTGATTGGAAAACTTATTTTATTTGGTTGTGGTTAATTTATCGAATACTTGGTTTCACTCATGTTACTTATTTTCTTTAGTTGATTTGTTTGAAAATGTAACTTTAATTCTGCCAGCTTAGTATAAACGATGTTGTACCTGAATGAACAATTGCAGGTTTTGATAGTTTAAGTTAGCCATGGGTTAATTTATGTTAAGTTACAATGGTTGAATAGCTTTATGGAAATAAGACTGCTACTTGAATTGCCGGGTTCTAGTGGCTACTTTTAGATTTCTGCTGCTAAGAAGTACATGATTTGCTTTATAGTAATTTGATGAATAGCGAATCAGAAAACATATTTCAGAGTTGTTCATTTTTGCTTTTGTGCTCTATGTATTAATTGTTATGTGTTTCCTATTGAAAAAAAGGTATTAATTGTTATGCTTCAATGGTCATTTCAAACAGATGGAGCTTCCTCACTGGACTGATATTGTGAAGACAGCTCAATATAAGGAGCTTGCTCCCTATGACCCAGACTGGTACTATGTCAGATCTGGTAGGTTACCTTGACAACTCAAACTAGTGGTGCTGGTTATTATGCTCTGATGCTAATATGTTTCATATTTAAAACTTAATTGCAGCCTCCATGGCAAGGAAAATCTACTTGAGGGGAGGTCTTGGTGTCGGTGCTTTCCGTAGGATATATGGTGGTAGCAAGAGGAATGGAAGTCGTCCACCTCATTTCTGTAAAAGCAGTGGAGCTGTTGCTCGACACATTCTTCAACAGTTACAAAACATGAACATTATTGAGATTGACACCAAGGGGTAAGCTATAGACTTCTTTAGGCCTTGTATTATGTCATTTGAAACATGAATCACTCACTCAGTTATATTGGGCATAACATATATCTTTGGAATGAGGCATATGTTCCAATGTATCCATTCATTTGATTCTGTTTCTTCTTTTCGTCATCATGTCTGCATCCTCCTTATTTTTTCTCTTGTTTTCCTTTTATCCCACTAGCTTGTCTACACATTACATGATGTTGATAAGTTGCTCTGATCTTCCCTTGCTGATGTTATCTTTTGTGTTTGTGTGTGTATCAGTGGAAGGAGAATAACATCCAATGGCCAACGAGATCTTGACCAAGTTGCTGGGAGGATTGTGGTTGCTCCCTGAATCAGTGGATTATAAAGCTTTGACTCAGCAGACACAGCGTAATTTGATGATATATTGCAGACTTCTGTTAGTTAATGGGAGAGATTTTGCTGCGTTGTTAAGCAAGTTTTGATTCCAATTGTAGACATTTGAGAATGAACCTGTTTTCTGTTTTGTTGCATTTTTAGTTGTTTGACATTTTATCTATAGTTTCACTGAAGTCCATGTTGTTGGAGAGGCTTTAATTTAATGTTTGAAGATAATAGGATGAAATTTTTTTTTTTATGTTGCGTTTAATTAGAGCTTTACTTAAATTTTATTCATCAATTTGAAAACCCACTGAGTTGCATATAACTCAATTTTAAGAATGATAGTAAACAACTTGTTTTTTCGCTTCATGAGCCATTTTTCTGTTGCAGAAACACCATTGGGGTCACTACTTGGAAAATGTAATTGTGCAGTGCACTGCTACTATGAAGTATTGTTTTAAAACCCGATCTGTTGTAAGAGGTTTTAAGTTTAGGATTTAAGGTTTAGGGTCTAACCGGCTGGGCCGGTGAAGTGCAAAACAGCAGTGGGGTATAAGTTGTTTCAGAAATGTTAATAGCGCTTGCTAATTCATTTTCAGTCACACTTGCTGCTGCTTTTTATTGATTATATTTTATCGTCAAAGTGACAAAAATGGTAAGCAAGCGACACCGAGTGTTAAAAGAGAGTATAAAAACAATAATTTCAATCGCATAATCAATTAATTAATATCGCATTTTAAACCCAATTAACCAATTATTATGGAAACTATTTATTAGAAACATACATATACCTGCCCAATTATGATATATTTGTCTTTCTTGTATAATTGTTTATCAATTTTAAAGGATTAACAATGACATAGATATATAATTCTCAACACAAAAAGGAAAATATATGTGTATTTATTATATAATAATTTTGATTACATGATACATATTCTGTGGTAACAGTAAGTTTTATGTCATGACACCTCCAAATTAGAACTTTGTCGTCCCACTTCCGACACATTTCTTCGTGCAATTGTTTATTCTCTCCAGCCATTGTTAAAAACCCGATTCACCAATAATTTAAATTACATAATCAATTAATTATCATCACATTTGAAGACCCAATTCACCAATTATTATGGAGACTATTTATTAGAAACATATATATGTCCAATTATGATATATTTGTCCTCCTCATGTAATTGTTTATCAATTTCAAAGGATCAACAATGGCAGGATATAAATGTGATTTTCAAGACAAAAGCAAAATATAAGTGTATTTATTTTTCAATAATTTTGATTACGTGATACATATTCTTTGGTAACAATAGGTTTTATGTCATGGCTTAACGAAAATGAGCAATCTCATGAAACAAGTGAGTTAGAGAACGACGATAAAAAACTCTTCTGAATCTCTCAATCTTGTGTGTATGCTTTCTCTCTCTTTCTCATAGTGTTTAACTCTCTTTCTTATGGCACCTCTAAATAAGAACTTTATGGTCCCACCTCCGACGCACTTCTTCATGAGATTGTTCATTCTCTTCAACCATTGTTAAAAACCCAATTCACAAATAATTTTGAATCACATAATGAATTAATTAACATCGCATTTTAAAACATACGTGTTATAAACCAAAGCGAAATATTTTTTTCTATAATCAACATTTTATATATATTCATATCCATTATACAATTGTGATGGTCAATTCTAAGCTGATTTACTTAAACATTAAAGAAAATTTTAGTATTGGTTGATCACTGAATCTAAAGCCAATTATTGAATACCTTGAACAAATGAGGTATGCAAAACAGTTAATATATAATTTTTCCTTTATGTACAAAATTAAATTATATCAACCTTGACACTGTACAATACTTGTAAAAAAGTTTTTGTATTACAGAAAAAATGTTAAACTACATTAATTAAATGGAAAATGTTACACCCCACAACCTGTTCTGGCAAATTTCCTCTCACAACTCCGACGTGGCATCTTGCAATTGGTTAGCTCGTAAAGGATCCCATCCGATATATTGCAGCTAACCAATTACGAGTTGTCATCAGGGTTGTGAGAGAAAGTTTATGAGAAAATATTGTGGAGGTAGCATTACTATAATTTAATATGACAAAAACAAGAACATTGGTGCATTTGTTGTATAATCGATTATCACCGTATACTAAAACATAATTACTATAAATCCATAAAAGTTATGTATTTTTTTTGTAAACTGTTTATATATATTCGTAAGATTCATCAAATCAAATCAAAAGAGAGGTACCTGGATTTTCAGCAAGGTTTTTTTTTTTTTAATTTTAATTGGGGGTGTCTAGATCAGATTACGCACACCTTAATTAGTCCTCCGATCCAAACAAGACACTCTTGGCCCCGAGTCTTTCCACTTGGCCAACCCATTGTTGGTTGATGTTCTTCTGCAAGTTTCATTTGCGCCAAGATTCTGTCCAAAACTAGTATTTCTTGACACAAAAGAATTAAAAAGATAGAACAAAAACGAAAACTTAAAAAGATTAAATGATTATGTCAATTAAAATAGGCGAAGAAAAGAGAACTTACCCCAGATTAAGCATTCATTGATTAATCTCTACACGTAATAGAGGTCAAAGAAAGTCTCTCTCCCTCCTTCTCAAAAAAGAATCGAAACTGTAACGTCCATCCATCTTTTCTTCTTCCTCTTCTTGGATTAAGCCATGAACAAAAACATACAAAACCAATCTATATATACAAACCTTCACTATTCATCTCAGACTCTGCATGTAACAGAGGCAAAAGAAACTGCAACAATCTCTTCATCTTTCCTGGATTAAGGCATGAACAAAAACATACAAACCAGTCTATATACAAAGGCTTTACAAAACAAAGTACAAAATAGATATGTATATATCAATCTCTACATATCACAAAGACAGAAGAAAGAAATCGAAACTGAAACTATCTCTTAATCTACTTGGATTAAGCCATGAACAAAAACATAGGAAACCAATCTGTATACTAATTTTCTTCTAAGACATTAGCAGATAATTTACTGATAATACTAAGAAATTCGCTACCATACTTTTACCAACCTGAAATCTTGCTCTGACTTTTCTTTTTTCTTGTTTTTGATAGTATAATGATTCTCTTATAGAACCGATGTATATTTATAATACTTCTGAGGTTTCCTTAATCAAGCGGGATTCTTAGGTTTCCTAACTTATGTAGGACTACTATCCTTTGGAACATGACATGTCGTCTGCTAATTAGAGAATGTATGACATGTCACAACGACGAGATCACTCTTGTAAGTTAAGATTGCAAACACCTAACCCTCCGATACTTAGAAACTGTATTTGCGCAGTGCACTACTACCATGAAGTGGAAAACAGCAGAGGGGGGTATAAATTGTTTCAGAAATGTTAATGGCGCTTGCTAATTCATTTTCACTCACACTTGCTGCTGCTTTTTATTAATTATATTTTACTGTCAAAGTGACAAAAATGGTGAAAAAGTGAAACCGAGCGTTACAACAGAGTGAAAATAAACAAGTGTTTATTGCACTCCTTTGAGATATTTTACCCAAATTCATGTTTAGTTTGTCTGTGAATGTCTAAAATTCTGTCCAGCCATATATCATCTTGTGTCAAAGATTATCCCTCGGTATCAAGACTTTGTGAAAATGGAAATGAGTAGTATAAGAATATCATATTCAAATGATGTCAAAGCCTCATGTCCAATACAAGACTGTCCACCGACAGTATTTGTTTATGCGCTTTCAAGAAACAAAGCAGTGGACATCAAAATTGCAACTAAATTGGTTGCTTCATATACAAATGAGGAAAAGAATAACGAAAACCAAAAGAAAACAAAGACAAGAATTAACATTATTCAGAAATTGATGCCATTGCCTAGATGTTCTAATTTAGTTTTCTTTCATAACCTATTACTGTTGTTGTTGGTAAGTGAAAGAGCTCATATTATTCCATGATACACAGCACTTGATCTTCTTATGATGGGGTGGCATTTGAAACTTAGGGTCTCTGGGTATGGTTGGATGCTTCATTGACCTGAAACAAACCAAACCAAGAATTAACATTATTCAGAAATTGATACAAGAAGTTAAAATGAGTAAAGCCAGTATTAGCTACAAGGTTTTGTAGAACGAACATTATGCATGCAAGTTCCTATTACCTTCTGGGCATAAAGGGTCTGTCAAAATAGGGCATAGGTTGTGCTTTTGGAACAAGCTCCTTTCTCAACCTTTTTATTTCTTCCTCTTCCTCCAACTACAAAACCAAAAGACCAGAGAATAAAATTTTCATATTGTTCATCATAACTGAAACTTCACTTCAAAGACAATATCTTTTCAAGTCATGTATGTACCTTCTGCAGTCTCTCTCTTTCCATTTTGTACTGTTCAATCAGACTCATCTTCTCTGCTACCTGAGTAACACATAAAAACACAAACGATCAGTTCCTTTCTTAGGAGGATTTAGCACAATGTTTTATAATCTGGTCATCTAGTGAGGACCTATAGGTAAATAGAGTGGAGAGTGAAGTACGTGCACAAGCACTGTATATAAAAATTTGTAGCCTATAAATGTTAAGCAACATTTGAGGTGTTCACACTAAATTTTATGAGCTCAGCTGTTCAGAAAAATGGCAAAAAAACTGTGTTATTTCTCCCTTACACAAAAACTGCACCATACATGATATGAGTAGTAAGAAATCCTAAGATATCCGTCTGTTAGGCCTAGAGCTAAAGCTGCCGCAAGAGTTTTCTAGAAAAGCCTTAAAAAGAAAGAAGTGACTAAGTAACCAGTGTAATATATTCTGGTGAAATGTTCAAAGATGCAAGAAGAAAACAGGTAAATGTTGCCCTTTATACCAAAGTCAGGCACCTGCTTCAATTTTCTGTGACTTACTGTCATGAAATTGTTCATGGACAGTATGTTGCACGCTACAAGGTTCAGCATAATAGGCTTTTTTTTTTTTTTTTTTTTTATAGCTCGTTCTAACTTAAAGTTGCATTAAACTTGCACAAATTTAATTTCTATTATGTACGAAACTAGTACAGGGAGCTCCATAACAATATTGTTGTAAAGGATTTGGAAAATAACCTGATGGTCAAACTCAGCACGCTCCATCGCTCGCAGATCACTGTGGAGTTTTAAGTCCGTAGGCCTGGTGTTTTCTTTAACTGGAGGTTTAATTAGGCACTGCTATTAACAAAACACAATGCCAAATCAAATCAGCTCACTAGCAAATAATCATTCAAACTGTAAAGACCTTGACTACATTCTAGCAATCAAATGAAGAGGCCAAATTCTCCATTTATATTCGTAATAGACTCACCTCTGGTTCATCTGTTGTCCATGGAAGGCCTTGAGCTATAGGAATCCGCAGCTTCTCCTCCATTTGTACCATTTCTTGTATCTTCTTCATAAATTCTTCCTCTTTTTGTCTTCCCCTTTGCTGCAACAATAAACAAATCACCAAATGTCGCAATGAGCATCACAATCACTGCAATTATAAGTTGAACATTTCTGGATCAAATCAATTCTCATTTAAAACAATATCTATCTACCTCAGTTCTTAGCTGAAATGGCTTTTGGCAAGTGGCTTTTAGTTGCTTCTTATTCCATCTTCTGCTTCCCATTGTCCCACACGATTCAGTGCTCTAAAATTCAAACCAAAATTACCCCACAAAAATAAATTATCAACTCGACATTCAAATATTCCTCAAGAATCAAACACTCACAAAATAGAAAAAGCTCAAGAGAGAATATAGAAGAGAAGATTAGATTACATTTCTCCGGCTTCTCCTGCCTCCATTAGAAGTCCTGCTAGAAATACTTCAAAGAGAATCCAACATAAGAAAAAAAAATCAAATGTGAGGTTCATTCAAATTTCAATTGAATCAATCTAAGCACTGTTACCAACCTTCCTTGGCTACTATCCCACGAAGAAGAAATCGAAGCACGCGAATCCAAACCCAAATTCTCTGCAGTCAAGATCAAATCCGATGGACAAAACGAAGAAACCGAAGACTCCCTAGCCTCATTCACCTTAGGTGGAGCTAGCAGGCCAGGCAATGCCCATTTCATTGCCTTCTTATTATCATCATCAGCAACACTCTTTTTCTCGCTCTCTTTCTCATCTTCCTTTTGATCACATTCCTTCGGATTTGGTATCGAAAGGAGCTTCTCAAACGCCTTAACCAAATGCAACACTTTCCCACACTCAGGCACACTATTTCTTGCCTCTTCAAGCAACTTAGCCCTCCTTCTCTTCATCGTAGAACTCCCATTTTGCTCAGGTGATTCACTAACATTCACATATTGATCCTCAATATTCTGATCCACAAATCCACCCGTCTCAGTCTCTTCACCAACCAAATTTTCAACTTCACCAAATTCACCATCTTTCTCCTCACCAAACCGACTCTTGTTCTTAAAAAACTCTTCTTGCGAAGCCCTTAAGGTCTCATAAGCCACACACAGACATTTCTTCACATTACCTCCACCAAATCTGTCCTTACACTTACACTCAACATTTGAACTCAAAGCCCCCTCTTTCTCCTCTTTCTTTGAGTTTTTATTCCTCTTCTTGGCCACCACAAACTTTCTTTCTCTAATCTTGTTCCTCGAAGAATAATGAGCCGCTGGATTCACGTTTCTGGGTGCCGATTTCTGCGATTTTGCAGACTTCATTAACGGAGAACTCGTGGCCTTTGCAGTTTTCACCCCAGGGCTTGAATAAGAGGACGAATTAGAAGAAACATTGGGATTCAAATTCTCAGATAACTTGTTCGTTTCTTGAGTCTTGTATGATTTACCAGACCTTTCATGGTCTTTCACCGGAGTCATTGGCTTCGAATTCGCCATGGAAACAAAGTAAAGATGCAAAATTGGGAAAATGGGGCGTCGTAAATTTCGTTTGTTTGAAGAGAAAGTGAGAGGAAAATAGGGTTTAGTCTTGAATTGAAAGAATGAAAGTGCATGACAAGAGGAGAAGAAAATTAAAGGAACGTTGAGGATTTGGACGCTCTCTGTAACGGCTAGTTTTCGTGGGGCTGTTTATGTGGGCGTCAGATAAATAATTTGAATTTTGGTTTGTGTTTTGACCGTTGGATTGGCTGATTAGGAAAGTAGGGTAGGGTTGTGATTGATTTGATTAACAAAATTACAACCGTTATGGCTTGCCCAATCAATTTAATCATATTACATATACACTCCTCTTATTCATCAGAAAACAATGTAACCCCTTTCTTTTTCTTAATCACAATTTAACTCGTGTTTTTATTTTCGTAATCACAATTTTAATAATGTTGTTTTTATTTACATAATTTAAAAAAAAAAATTATTTTAGCAAAATTTTGATCTTCTGATTGTGACTTTGGTTTAGCTAAAAGGTAAGGGAGATCTTGAAAATTAATTAATTTATTTTTTCTTATATATTCTTATAAGATGATAAAAGAGTATTAGGGTTGTTTCATTTTTAATATGAAAACAATTTTAAAAAATAAGACATAAAATTAAAAAAAAANTGGGGCGTCGTAAATTTCGTTTGTTTGAAGAGAAAGTGAGAGGAAAATAGGGTTTAGTCTTGAATTGAAAGAATGAAAGTGCATGACAAGAGGAGAAGAAAATTAAAGGAACGTTGAGGATTTGGACGCTCTCTGTAACGGCTAGTTTTCGTGGGGCTGTTTATGTGGGCGTCAGATAAATAATTTGAATTTTGGTTTGTGTTTTGACCGTTGGATTGGGTGATTAGGAAAGTAGGGTAGGGTTGTGATTGATTTGATTAACAAAATTACAACCGTTATGGCTTGCCCAATCAATTTAATCATATTACATATACACTCCTCTTATTCATCAGAAAACAATGTAACCCCTTTCTTTTTCTTAATCACAATTTAACTCGTGTTTTTATTTTCGTAATCACAATTTTAATAATGTTGTTTTTATTTACATAATTTAAAAAAAAAAATTATTTTAGCAAAATTTTGATCTTCTGATTGTGACTTTGGTTTAGCTAAAAGGTAAGGGAGATCTTGAAAATTAATTAATTTATTTTTTCTTATATATTCTTATAAGATGATAAAAGAGTATTAGGGTTGTTTCATTTTTAATATGAAAACAATTTTAAAAAATAAGACATAAAATTAAAAAAAAAAATTATCTATTTTTATTATTTTATATTAGCTTTTTGAATTGTATCCGAAAACTTTTTTCCAAAGTACTTAAAATTTATTTTAACTAAAAGAGTTTCAATAATACTATATGTACAAACAAATCTTATAAAAATTTGTGTACAAACTTATGTGGCAGAAAATAAATGGAAGAGTTAATACAAAAAGTCAAACTCATTATATTTCTTCTTCCATTCATTTTGTACCACATCAGTTTGTACATAAATTTTTATAAGATTTGTTTGTATATGTAGCATTACTCAAAGAGTTTTCATGATATTTTTTGTATCTCTTATTTTCCAATACTAAATCATATTTAAATTTTTTCATCCCCACCTTGCCCGGTGGGGCTTGGGTTTTTTTCGACATCCCTACACAAGACCCTAATTTTTCACACCAGCTTGTAGGGATGGTTAGGGATCATGATTCATTTGGATCTAGGCCCATTGTGAACTAGATCAAATCATGTCTTAAGCTTTGTGTTTGAGGCCCAAGAACTGGAGTTCAGTTTAGTTGTCGATCCAATGGGCCATATTTACTCCCATCTGGCCCAATTTTAGACCCCCTCCTATATTAGGTATATTTATGCAGCATGAGTATCTAAAATTCCAAATAATTCAATTAATTTTCATTTTCATTTTCACTCTCATCCCCATCTCCCTCAAATTTAAATTGAAAACCCTAAATCTATCTTAAAATTTCTTTTTTATCTTTGACTCCCTTATTCATTGAATCATATACTTTTATCCCCTTAAATGTAGCTTCCTATATTCCATTTTTTATCCGTCGTCCTTCTCATTCGTGGAACATTATACTTCAACCCCAAATCAATTTTCAGGTTCCGCTCTTGTATATTATCATCATAAACATAAAATGATATCATTTCAATACTATTAACTTTTAACTCTTAGATCAAAACTATTATTGAATGAATATTTGACTCAAAATTAAGTGCATATGAAACTCATTATTTTTTTTTTTAATCAAAGTGTTTGAGCTAGGTCACATGCATCTCGACTAATCCTCGAGAGAGACCAGCACAATAACCCATCACTACAACCTTCCATTTAAATCGCGGATGCTTAAATGAGGAATTTAAACTGAAACCATGCGCCTATCCACACTATTCTTGATTCGCCTTAACCATATGACCCACAAATAAAACTGAATATGAAGCTTTGACTAACCTTTAAATCAAAAATTCATGGCGTATAAGCTTTATGCTTCTAACTTCAATTATCAATTTACATTTTTTCTATTCTACCCAACCATTTAATTTTTGGGAAGAGTAATGCTACAGCCACCGACGGTAGTGCACCAAATTTGTGCACCGAATGACGTGACAAAATCCTGACCGTTTATTAATATTTAGTTAAAATTAATAAACGGTCAGGATTTTGCCATGTCATTCGTTGCACAAATTCGGTGCACTACCGTCGATGACTGTATTATTTTCTTTTTTGGGAAATGAGAGCATGATGATGTGTCAGCATGACCATTCTTCCTATATGTAAGTCTTCAATTTATTACTTCAAGCTTCAACTTCACTCAACATCATCTCCTTTTCTGAGCCCTTAAGCAAGTTCATTCTTAAATTTGAAGTTGCCTCTCTTGAATTATAGTGTCTCTTTCTCAAAGGGTCTTAATGCCACATGAAAAATCATTGCCCTTGTAGCTGTCACTTTGTTGATTTTGCTTACTTGAGAGCCATTCTCCACCCACTTACTTGAACTAATTAGGTTATTTAATGCTGCCCTTAATTAAATAATAAGTGGTCAAAACTTTTGCTTAATCAATTAGGTGGTGGCATCATTGATAGGGAAAGCTTTTAGTTTTAGACTCTTAAATCATATGACAAGTAAAGGGCAGCTAATTCTAGATGCTCTCTCAATTCAATTTCGGTCCAATCAACTTTACATCTTCATTAGAAGAACATTCCAATTTTTCACCCATATTTCATTTCACAAGTAGAAGAAAACCCAAATTTGGAAAGGTTTTATAATTAGTATAAAAAATGCTTCATCTTTTTATTGTCTTATTCGATGTCTAGTATCATATAATTTTATCATCTATCAAATAACATAATGTTAAAGCACTATTTAGTATGTCGATGAGTACAATCTAATACATTATCAAATCACCACTAAATGTTCTGATGATAAAAGAGCAAAATGAATTCTATGAACTCCTGAGTACGAGTCTCCTTTGGTTCAAATAAGGGTAGCCACTGGTTCTTTTACCTGACAGACAGTTCTAGAGTTTCAAAGGATTAGTTGAGGTGTACACAAACCGTCTTGACACCCTCGGTGATAAGAAAACAAAAAACATTATTCAACATCATACTTAGGCAATATCATCTTAAGAATGTCTAGACAACACTTATGAATGTATATTAATTCATAATGGTATTGAGAACTAATAACATAATTTTGGATTATAATAAGCTAGTGTCCACGTGATTTTAACATATATGTCATGTTATTTCTTAGTCTTTTTTGGAATTGATCTCAAAGTGGTCTAATTAAGTGACTTCACGAATACCAATTCTGATGGGTACTCGTTTGCAACGAGATCCAAATACCAACCACAATGAGAGAGTTTGTGATCCCAACTCTCGGATACATCCCTCGAGAGTAACCTACTCTGATGCCAATTATAACAATCAGAATGTAAGAGATAAATACCAAAACTACGGTAACATATTGGTACGTTAATGGCACTAAAATCCAGTAACATAACTTCATTCTATCCAACCAAAACAAGGCATGCATACAATTACCAGAAGTCAACTGCAGCCTCGAGGAAGTTCACAAATCTGTGCTTTACAGAGAGAGTGGCAATGCATACAAATGGAAACCGCGTAGAAATTGGAATATTTTTCATCTTCCTCCGATTTCTGTGGGCACTTGCGTAAATTCAACGCCCCGACCAACCTTTTCAATTTACCTTTCCAGCCCTGCCGAATCTGCCCTCACGAGACCACCACTTGAGAGCTCCGCGTCAACTGATGGTACAGCAAAGGGACACACCAGTCATTTGTTAAAAAGAACGGGACAGATCTTGGACATGCGTTGCGTATTTATAACCACCCGGCTCTCCGCACATTTCATATAGTTATAACAGTTTCTTCTTCTTCGTCTTCGTCTCTTGATTTCTGAAGAGAATTCAATTCTAAACCCTCGATTTCGCAGGTAAATTCTCAATTTCGAGTTCAAATTTCCTTGATCTGAATGCATTGCTATGTTATAATCACAGATCTAGCTGTTTCGATTTGACTTTTTAGTGCATTTTTGCATATGAATTGAATCAAACGAGCTAGTGTTGGATCTGACTCGGTTGTGTTTGGATTTGTGACTCTTGTTCGTCTGTTTAGCTAGTTGTGTTTCAGATCTTACTATTTTACTTTGATTTTGTTGTTATTTTGTTAGTATAAGTTACCGTTAACAAATTTGATAGCTTTGAATGGAGAACTATTTAGTTTAAAGAGTTGGATTAAATTGAATTATAAGCTTGTTTGTTTTGGTTTCGTTGACTTCGTCAAGACTTCAATGGAGTTTATAAGTGTAAATCTTAGTGAAAGGTTGTAAGTTTTGTGACAATTTATTTATTTTGTCGAAGAAATTTTGATCGTTTAGAATAGTTTGCACATTCTAGATCCAGTCTCTGGGTTGAGTTTTTTGTATGTGAAAGCGAATTAAATGTTGTGGAAATGTGTGGTATGAAGAAAGTGTTTATAATTTTTTGCAGGTTATATAGATTAGAAAAGGAAAATGGTGAAGATCTGCTGCATTGGTGCTGGATATGTTGGGGGGCCTACTATGGCAGTTATAGCACTTAAGTGCCCATCCATTGAAGTGGCTGTTGTTGATATCTCGGTGTCTCGTATTGCTGCCTGGAACAGTGACCAGCTCCCCATCTATGAGCCAGGACTTGAGGGTGTGGTGAAGCAGTGCCGAGGAACGAATCTGTTCTTCAGTACTGATGTGGAGAAGCATGTGTCTGAAGCTGATATTGTCTTTGTTTCGGTCAATACACCAACCAAGACACAGGGCCTTGGAGCTGGTAAAGCTGCAGATCTGACCTACTGGGAGAGTGCAGCCCGTGTAATTGCTGATGTCTCCAAGTCGGACAAAATTGTTGTGGAGAAATCAACAGTTCCAGTAAAAACAGCTGAGGCAATCGAAAAAATTCTGACCCACAACAGCAAGGGAATCAAATTCCAAATCCTCTCAAACCCAGAGTTTCTCGCCGAGGGAACTGCAATCCAAGATCTTTTTAACCCAGATCGAGTCCTCATTGGAGGCAGGGAAACCCCAGGAGGCCAGAAGGCTATCAAAGCATTGAAAGATGTGTACGCACACTGGGTCCCTGAAGACAGAATTCTGACCACCAACCTTTGGTCTGCTGAGCTCTCGAAGCTTGCTGCCAATGCTTTCTTGGCCCAAAGGATCTCCTCTGTTAATGCCATGTCAGCACTTTGTGAGGCAACTGGAGCTAATGTTACTCAGGTGGCATATGCTGTTGGTACAGACTCAAGGATTGGACCCAAGTTCTTGAACGCTAGTGTTGGGTTTGGTGGCTCCTGCTTCCAGAAGGACATTTTGAATTTGGTTTACATCTGTGAGTGCAATGGCCTTCCAGAAGTAGCCGAGTACTGGAAACAAGTCATCAAGATCAATGATTATCAGAAGAGTCGTTTTGTGAACCGTGTTGTTGCCTCTATGTTTAACACGGTTGCAAGAAAGAAGATTGCCATTCTTGGATTTGCCTTCAAGAAGGATACTGGTGACACAAGGGAGACCCCAGCCATTGACGTATGCAAGGGGCTACTAGGAGACAAAGCTCGTTTGAGCATCTACGACCCACAGGTCACCGAGGATCAGATTCAGAGGGACCTTACAATGAACAAATTCGATTGGGACCATCCTCCTCACCTCCAACCAATGAGTCCTTCAACTGTCAAGCAAGTGGCTGTGGTTTGGGATGCATACGAAGCAACAAAAGATGCTCACGGTCTCTGCATTTTGACCGAGTGGGACGAGTTCAAGAACCTTGACTACAAGAGGATATACGACAGCATGCAAAAACCAGCTTTTGTGTTCGATGGCAGGAACGTCGTGGATGCGGACAAGCTGAGGGAGATGGGTTTCATCGTGTACTCGATCGGTAAGCCCCTGGATCCATGGCTGAAGGACATGCCTGCAGTGGCATAAAAGAGATGAAGTTAAGCAGTCAGTTTGATTCTTTACTATATCTTGATGAATTTTGTTGTGCCTTGCTTTCCCATAGTAGTCAGGATAAATGGTATTACCATCAAGGTGAAAGCAAGAAGCTCTATGTTTTGCCTTACATTGTATTCCATTACATCACTGTTTGTCTGTTGTTTATTTAGAAGAAAAAAAAGAACTTGATTGATTTTTCTTTGATTTAATCAAGAATTATGTATTCCAAAATCCATTTTATCTTGTATTTTTGTTCAATGTTAATACTCCATTTGGTTCCAAAATCCCTTTTTAAGTAAGTCCACTATTTACCATTTCAAGTGTAATGTCTCAAAATCCTTTAAAAGGGTGCTTCATATTACGAAATGTGAAGAGACTGAGTAGAATACACTAAATGAGGAGAGAATCTTCCATAACTCGACCTTGTTCAAAATTGGAGTCCGTAGGTCATGAAGGCGTCTATGAGAGGACTTGAACCTTAAACCTAGGAAGTGAATCTTCCATATAACAATCACAAGCACGGGTTTGAAATGAGTCCGTCGAGTAGTCACGCAAGTGTCTAATAAGAGGGCTCGAGCAAATAACATGTTTGATTATTCATCTAAATCTTTATGGTTAATATAACGAACGTATACGGTATATCCATTCAATTAATCATGAGACAAATGACATGTATGCATTTTATCGTGTAATGACATCTTATACATTATATTGTGGCGTGACATCTCCGAGGCGGGTAGTTGATGTATGTATTATTTTTTCTCTCATAAAATCAAATATCAATTTTTTTTTCTTAACATTATTCTCCAGCATAGACCATGGCTAAGAATCCTAAGATGGTGAAGCCGTGAAGGAGAACAATTACTATTCAATAACATGACCATAACTCATAGTATATCGTTATACAGATACATTAATATAAAATCCATAAAATAATATTAATTACACTAATATAAATACTAGAGTAATTAATTCGTACACAGGACGGCACTCTGGTCAGTTGCAACCAATACAGAAGACAGATTATTGTAAAATACAATTTATACAACAATACTAAGGAGTAATGGAAGGCAGGACCTGAATCCTGAGAAAGCAGCCGCCCACAAGAAAAGTGCAATACTTGTGGCAATGGAAGCCACAGCAACAGTATACGTAACGCTTGCAATCTTCGGCTCTGATGTCCGGAAAACCATGGAGTAACCGGAACCAAAACAGGCGCCCAGAATGCAAAAAAGGAAGGCCTGGAAAGTAGCTTGTTGATCATGAAAAATAACAGTAGGAACCCAGTTTCCATCAATGTATGTCATCGGAAGTAGCAGCACGACTAGCATTGGGGTGATGACGGTGGCATGGAATATCAATTCGTCAGAGTAGAGCAATCGTGTTGGACTTATGTATGCTACAGGGACAGCGTTAAGGAGGGGTGGTAATCTGAATTTCATCCCTGTAACAACAAATGGAACAAATTGCGTGTACAAGTTTGAAGATTTCTTTAAAGCTTTCTAAGAAACATCCAGAAATATAAAGTAAAAATAAAGTAGGACATGGAAATCTCAATTTGGCTCTCTTCCATTAACTAAAACTTCATCAAATTCAAACAAAAAAGAAATTTTATCAAATTCAACACTAAATATACAACAATTGACCAATATATCAAAATTAACTAAATCTCCCAAATCTCTACAATTTAGGGCTTCACCAATTCCTTAAATCATTCAAAATTAACTCAACAACTAACTAAAATTTATCAAACCCAACTTAAAACAACAACTAATTAACTCATACCTCAACATAAACAAGATTAAATCAAAACCCACTCAAATTTTAGGATTTATTAAATTCAACAAAACCTCAGCTTTATGATCTATCATCAATTAAGAAAGCTAAAAGAAAAGAATTTTAAGTAAAATTTTAAAAAAAATGAGCATCATCTTACCTTATAAACCAATAAAGTAACCTTTCTTGAATAACCCAACCGAAGAAAAAGATAATAGGAGAGAAAATGAAAGGAAATGAAGAACGACGAAAAAACTCAAAAAATGTTAATATGAATTTAAGTAGTGTCAAAATTGTAAATTATATAAAACTTATATGTGGGCTAACTTAACCCACAGACTTTTTTTATTTTTTCAAAATTTTGAGTGGGCTCACTTGAACCCACAACCTTCTATGTGGGCTAAACTGGTAAAACGGGTTTCGTGTTAACAAAAATTCATTTATTTTGGATTAATAAAAATAATCCCTTAAGTATAATTAAATAACAGAAATACTGATTACACCAATAGCAGAAATCTCTTTGTTCGTTTTGACCTAAAAAAAATTCACTATATAACAGAATAAAAAGAAAATTCCCCAATTAATCAATACGAAACAAAAACTCTTTAAAAACTATAACATCTGAATCTGAATCCAGTAGCACCACTTGAAAAAGAAAGAATTTATTATCCTCAACTCAACAAAATGCTAATGAAAATCAAATAAATCAACTTAAGAAAAAATAGAAACCAATTAGAAAACCACTAGCCTCAACTCAACGACGTGTGCAGCTTCTGGAGATTAGAGGTACAGGTGTCGTCGACGTCGTCTGCGGCAAATCTGACGGTTATAACAACGGCAAATAGGAGAAGCGAAGTTGTGGAATCGATGGTTTTGTGAAGGGTTAGGAATTTGGGGATTTTGGATTTCTGATTTAATGTAGCCTGAATCCCTGATTATCGTCTTTAAATAATTTTAACATTGGGGTGATTTGTTATATTTACAAATGTTTAGTTATTAAATCATTTTTTAATCCCCCATAGTTTCTAAAAGCATCTAAAAGAACCCTGAGTGTGCGAGTCAGCTTTGGCTTGCGAGCCTATCGAGCCAAGTCAAATACTAATCAAACTCGGCTCAAATTATTACAACTTACCAAGCCGAGCTTCAAATGAGTCGAGCCGAGTCGGCTTGCGAACAACTCGACTTGGCTGACAACCCTATCCCACCCAAGGTTTTGCGAATCTACAAGTTCCCACTCTTGATTTCATAAACTCCAGTTCCCACCCTTAAATTAACTGGAATTCTTTAATTAAAAGGTCAAAGTGGTCATTTGTACTTAATAAAAATGAAATTTTGAAATAACCCTCCACATTGCAAATTTCTCTCACAAGCACCTTCCACATCTCAAATTTTTTTCACTTTTTCCCTCTCTTCTAAAGCTTCATTTCTTTCCTGTCAATAGGGATGTTCAAAAGCGGTTAACTGCTTTCTTGAATCGAATCGGTTTTTCAGTTTAAGAAAATTCTCGAACCGAAACAGAACCGATTTGGGGGGAAAACCGAAAAACTGGTTAATCGCTTTGAAAAAACCGGTTAACCGGCTTTGAACTAATTTCCCCCTTTTTATTGGATAAAATTTTTTTTTTTATATTTGTTTTCCTAAAACTAGTTAACCGGTTTTGAACCAGTTTCCCCCTTTTTATTGGATAAAATTTATTTTTTTAAAATTTTTTTCTTAAATTGTAAACATCAATAATATATATCCAAATAAAAATTAAACATTCATACATATCCATTTACCACAACTAACAATACATTAAAAATTGATACAAATAAAAGTCCGAAATTAAACAAAAATAAAAGTTCGTAATGAAACGTCCATAATAAAACAACAAAATAACTAAATAAATTTAAATGGAAAACAACAAAAGAAATTGTACAAATTTAGGGATTAAGATTATTATTATTATTATTATTATTATTATGTTCAAAAAATCAGTTTCGGTTAACCGGTTTTCATTTTTACTTGAACCAAAAACCAAACTTAAAGTCTAGTTTTTTGAATTCTTTGAACAGTAACCGAACTATTTTTTTAGTTATTGGTTCGGTTCGGTTTGATTTTTTCATTTTTTTTTGAATACTCCTACCTGCCAACTCACATGGAGAGAAGGAGAGAAGAAAAAAGAAAGGAAGAAGAAGAATAAGAAGAGAAGATAAAGAACAGAGGAGGAGAAGGGGAGGAGTTGATGGAAAGAAATGATGGTTCAAAAGAGAGAGAAAAAGTGAAAGAAAGGAAGGAGAGATGCGAGGAAGAAGAAAGTGGAAAACGAAAAAAAAAAATTAACGTGAGGGGAAAAAGTAATTTATTAATTTATTTGTTAAGGGTAGTTTGATAATGGTATTTTTATATTGAATCAAATCCTAAAAATTATTAGCGGTGTTAATTTAAGGGTAGAAATATGAAATTTATAAAACCTAAGGTGGGAACTGTAGATTCGAGAAAACCATGGGTGTGAAATATCTAGGAACACTTACTAGGAATGGTGTTACTATCATGATCAAAGCAAGAGGCTCAATGTTTTGCCGTACATTGTATTCCATTATATCATTGTTTGTTTATGTTTGTGAAGGGGGGGAAAAAAAAAAAAAAGCGCCCTTGATTGGTTTTTCTTTGATTTAATCCCTTTATCATTATAAGAATTATGTATTCCAAAATCCAATTATCTTGTATTTTTGTTCAATGTTAAAACTCAATACTCCATTTGGTTCCAAAATCCCTTTTTAAGTAAGTTCATTATTTACCATTTCAAGTCTATGGTCTCAAAATCCTTTAAAAGGGTGCTTCATCTTAAGAAATGCAAAGAGATTAGGGTCTCTTGGTCGTAGAGATGTCTATGAGAGGCCTCGAACCTTATACCTAAATAGAGAATCTTCCATATAACAATCAGAAGCTCGAGTTCGAAATGGGAGTCGATTGGTCATGCAAAGTGTATATAGAAGGGCTCGAATCCTATACTTAGTGAGAGCAAATAACATGCTTGACTATTCATCTAAGTCTTTGGCCTAGTATAACTAACATGGTAGGTACCAGGTAGTTGATGTATGTAATTCAATTTATTTTCATTCTAATTAAATTGGCTGCTAATTTATTGGGCAATCTTTTCACTTTTTTTAATTAAATATCTTTTCTAGGGCTAAATATGTAGCCCAATGTTTGAATATGTGTTGACTTTATTATTGTTAATTTTAATTGAATATTAATTTTAAGTTTAATTATTGTGTGTATTGCTTTCAATTCTTATGGATCTGAGAGTTAAATGATATCATGAGTTGGGTTGAGATCGAGAGATGAAGCCTAATTACATATAAAATCATAGATTGAACGAACGCTAGAGATAGGTTACTGCGATCTGTGAGACTCTGGTAAATTCCATAAAACTTAATGATCTCTTAGCTTCTAAATCTGCTTTAGAGATATTTT